CAGTCACATGTGGCAGGGGAGCTTCATGCCCTGGATGTGCATCCCACAAATCTCCATCAACTGCAAAATGCTATATCCTATCAATATGGGCCAATATTTCTAAAGAATGCTTTCAGCACCTTATTGGATCAATGCCACATAGAATTAAGGCAGTTCTGAAGGTGAAAGTGGGTCAAAGGCAAAAGTGGCCTCTCTTAACAGTCTGTCAGTAACACTCTCTATTTAGTTCCTGTCTCTATGGACCCCCTCCTTCCAAAAAGAGCAGTGTGCTCTGATTGGTCAACTGGATCAGTGTGTTGTGATTGGTCTACTGCTTCGAGCGTGTTTCGGAAATATACCCCTTACCATAACCCTTGAAAAAAGACCATTGAAAAAAAGAAAAACAGCATCTCTTGGACATGGTGACAACACACTAGCTCAACCAGGTCCGGTAGAAAACTCAAGACTACAATCAAGGCGTTTCAGGGAGTTCAGAACTGATATAGAGCTGATATATAACTTTGCAGACCTTTTTCCTGCTCAAACAGCAACATTACACACTAAAGAAAGTTGAAAATGTAAAAAAAAAGCATCATAGGTCCTGTTTAATTCCTCGCAATGCAACGTTTAAATGTAAAACCTTCTGTACATACATGATGGGGTAAAATTAGGTCAGGTAATCCTCCTAGATCTTTTCATAGCTTTAACCTGAGAACATTAAATCCTAATGCCAGCAAGACTTCTCAGAGGTCTATCTATGGAATTATAGGGAACAGAAATGGAATACAAGAGTCGGGGTGGGTGAGAGCACGGGCTGCTAGATAATCTTTAGATACGTTTAGATACTTGACAACAAGCCCATGCTTGCTACTGTTCGCCCGGCTTAGCGGCTTACCCCCACTTGGAAGTTATGTAAGATAGCTGTAAACAGTAGGAAGGCAATCTTCTAATGCCAATTATCAGATCAAACGGAACATTCTTAAAATCAAAGTGTTAGACAGTGGATAGTGCCAACAGGAACGTATACGACAAATGAGTGGCGGGAAACTACTGCTAGATGTAGATGATTATATTCTTACTTGCTATCAGCACAGGCACCACAGTGTCTGAATTCTCATTGTACGTGATTAAGAAGTAACAAGCCAGTGATTGTCAGTTCCTTTTCTGCAACAGTTCAGAGTGCACCATTTGTTTGCCAATAGACAAGCATTCAGCACATATACTAGTCAATAAATCAATGCAAGATCAATGCTTCTGGTTGTCACCTTTTGCTGCTCGTCATCTTTGGAAAGGCCTTGCTATGCTTCTACCTGTCTGTTTTGATGTTCATTTCTTGGCATAAATGCATTGAAATAATGTGTTATGATTGAAGACCAACAATAATTTTCTTTTTGATGACATAATAAATGGCATACACATCACAGTAAGACGTACTTCTGTGCTATATATGTGGTTGTGATACTGGATTAAACTCGTCCCAAGAATCTGTTTTGAAGATTAAAGGGTCAGCAATCCGCACACCTTTATATCTTTACTGACTAATTGCCAATTAGTTAGGTTAATACACAACAAACCAATTAGATGACAGTTTAGAGGCAGTGTATTAAAAGTGCTAGTATTTTTGTGTGTTCCGAATTTAGCAATTATTTCATTGGTTAAAACTCATCTTTGATCATCAACATGACATAATGACATATTTCCTGTGAAAATAATTTCTCTACACCTTTGCTTAATTTAGTATACACAGTAAATATGCAAATTAGTCCTCGCCTCCACTCAATCAGTTTAAGTGTTTTTTTGTCTTTGTTGTTGTTACTAATATATACTTTAACAAAAAAAAGGAAAGCAAACATGATGGCTTACGGGCATCTGATGATCTTCTATGTTATACGATTTGTATGACTTATCACTAGGTGGCAGTAGTCAAGCTTAAAGGAAAGTGAAGTAGTAGTACAATCAGCAAATTCCAAATGGAATTGGACCTTCCAAAGGTCCGTTAGATTTTAGAGGGATGGGCTCTGACGATAGCCTGGCTAACGCCAATTCTCGTTGAGACTTGGGTCTGAGAACCACTTGTTAATTTTCTCGTATTCGAGGCGTGGTTTACGAATATCAGGTGCCGTTAATTGGGTGCTAAGAATGTCTATCAAATGCGCCTGTACGTAGCTCATAGCCAATCGTTTCAATTAGAAAAACACTAGTATTAAGGACAGATTAACATAGATATTGAAGTTGTTATTTGCGCTTGTACTTCACAAGTTTAAAAATTTTTAAAATTTAATTTAATGACTAAAGTGTCAACAACTTTAATCAGGTATGTGAGCACAGCTCAAAGTTAAGCTACTAAAGCGGTAGCTGTATATTGCTTTTGAAAAGCAACACAACTTAGTGGCACTGTAACAACCACAGTAGGTAGTCTACATGCATAATAACAATATGATATTAATAAATACCACTTACCATTTATAAGTTAAATGGACTTCGTCGACGACGATGCCTAGCAGGTGGTACTATACAACATGTCTTGCCACTTTGCGCTCATCCAGGCCTCGGGACTGCCGAACAGAAGTTGGTATCGACAATTCTTTATCGTATTTTCTTTCTCAGAACCATAGACTGTAAAAAATATGGACAAAGCATCTGTGACATCACCCATAGACTTTCTGAAGAACAATTTTGAGGCTGTTTATGGGGGGTATGGGTGGCGCCATACTGGAAAATCTTGGGAAATACAAAATACAAATGTTCAGAAAGGATACAGAGGTGGTAAGATGTGTTGTGTCAGATCATGGCCGAGACGTCAAATTCCACCCGGCGCAGCCCGTTATCAGCTGTCAATCAAAGTTAACCACCCTTATTTGTCATACATTTTATAGGAAATAAAAATTCACCCCCTCACAGTTGTCAGGCACGTGGAACAAACTGTAAAAACATGAATTTATGCTGTGAAAACAGACATTTTAAAATGGTAAATGGACATTTGCTCCCTTTTGGGACTGGCCTCTAGTGGATTTTCGATGTATTGCAGTTTTTCGCTTTTCCGGGTAGGCTTCATTTTTCAGATTAGAATGTTGCCGCTTGCTCGGGACACAGCTGAACGGCAGATATTCCAAGGTTGACCGCCTCCTGTACCTGGTCCTCCATGAGGGCGATTAATGGCGAGGCAACAATAACGACTGGGATCTCGCGAAGTTTAACGCCAAAAGCGGCGTTAAAAAATAAACTTGTATTTAAACTACTTCGAATAATATCTAAGGCTGCATCAAGGGGTAGCTTCGCGTCTGCTGCCATGTTGAATCCATAGAAATAAACAAACTGCTTTGTTATGTCGAATAGATGTCGTCATCGTCTTGGTGCTCCCTCCTCGTTCTGTGATTGGTTTCCTAAATGAGGCGAAAATCTGGTATCCATACTGCCTTTCAGCTTGAATAAAAACACGCTGTGGGAAGGCAGCATGGGGAAACCCAGACTACTCTGACGACATCCCAAACGGCCATTTATGTTCATATTTTGGGGCCAGGTTTGTATTACTGCGGGGAACTCTTCAGAAAGTGGCTGTGATTGGGCAGGTTTTAAATAGCAATTGGGTTGGCAAACCTGGCAACCCTGGTAACTTGTTTTTGGCACTTTGAAACGGGCGGTTTCAAACCGCGTTTTTTGAGTCTGCAGTTTTAAGGAGAAAATACTCTGCAATGGTGTTGACTGATACATTTGCACATAGTTTGTTTAAAAAATAGACACATAGACATGTTAACAACATTAAAAACTTGATTTAATAATTGAGTCGAGTGTCAATAGTACTTGATATAATTGAGCACCAAATCAGCATATAAGATCCCAAGCCGTTGCAATTTTTCAGCAATAAAAAAAACAAAACAATCCAGCGTCCTCCTTCAATCGACATGCTTGTTGAACTCATTAAGGCGCTGGTGGGCTGCCAGCTTGTGTCATTATGGCAGGGTCTTGCACTTTGCATCAAGATGGAGTGAAGCCCAACACAGTTGGACCTGGTCTTTCTGTTTATGATGATATAATCTCTTACGTAATCAGATATGGAGAAAATGCCAGCTGGAGAAGCTTTTTTTTCTTTCTTTTTTTTAATCTGTGGTGCCACCCAGTTCACCGGGGGAAATAAAAGTTCTCATTTGCTATCTGTCATGTTTATGTCTATCTCAAATCTGCTGTCCTAATATCATGCTTTCCATGTGCTTAGTGCTTATTTTTGTCATCAGATTAATGGTAAACTGAAGATTGAGCCGATTCCAGAGGAGTCAGATGCCAAATGTATTTGCATATTATAAAAAGCTGACAGAAACTGATACGTTAGTTGAAAAAAAAAAGAACCTGCATGCCAAAGCAGAAAATACACACTGTGATTGATTAGCTTGTGTTCTCAAGCTAATGGCTAAATGCTTAGGAAAATTCTCTGGAAACAAGTTTCTAGAGAATTGTCTTAATCATGTTTGTTTGCCAGTATGAGTCAGGACTTCTTGTCTACTTTATTTGAGAATTATTAGTATGAGCACTGGGAATCAATTGGAAAGATGAGCAATAGATTTGGACTTTAGAGAGCTCAGTTACATGCACAGGCAAACTTTGAGGTCTTTGCAAGTTGATTCAAAGCCGTAGGTTAGGTAACATACTTCAGAAGTTCTGAATAGTTTTTCCTGACAAAAATACTACATTTCTCCACAACCTAAATTGCATTGTCTGAACTTTTTGCATTATTGCTCAGGTATTTTGCTCAAAGCCTTGGCCCATAACTCATTATGCACATTGGACCTATACAGACAATTAGTGGTTAAATTGTGGGTTTCCTTAAAGAATAATAAACGATTAGACGTATGTGTTTTAGTGATTCAAAGTAGGCAACCACCCATGTTTGGTATACATTTAAACACTTTAGACCCCCTTAATTCAAACTCAACATACTGTTGTTTCTATTTGCCCCTGTATGACTTGGCACTAAATAACATTAGTGCTAAAAATGATCAGTGATTTCCTAAAATCATTAGACTTACTTGTTGCTTGTGTGTCTTGGCTGCTCAGGTTGCTCATGAATATTCATTAGAGATTTTCAACCTTTTGTTCTCTGACCTTTCCTTTTTTTTGTCCTGCTGCTCTTGTTTATTCCTGTTTCCATTCCAGTTTCTTTGTTTGTACCAAAGCAAAAGGAAAAAAAAGATTAATTGAATATATATGAATATATATATATACTTATATAATCAAAACTCAGGTACAGAATGACGGTCAGGGCACTCAAGGAACTGAAGGAACTAAATACAGATACAAATGAACAGGACAGGTGACACAGATGATAAAGACAATGGTGGATGATTGAGGGAGTGAGTTCATGTGTGGAGACGAGAAGGATTCTGGGTAGTGTAGTGAAGACTAATGCTGTGTCCGAAATCTCCACTCAAACCACTACTCCCTACCCCCTATGTTGGGGGTAGAGAGCAGAGCACTATATAGTGAGCTCACCAGCATAATAGAAACACGACTTTCGGACACTACTCGATCATCTCTCGGCGCCGTTGATTACATCATCCGTCAGCTGGTGCCGAGCCGGCCCTGGGCTAAATAGATTTTTAAAAATAAATAAATTACATTATATTGAGCTTATTTCTCCAAAATTTAAAAACTAAAAGTGATTTCTGGCAGTTTTTGTTATAATGCGCGACTCCACACATAACTTATTTTTACGATCAGCGCAATGCATGATGGTATGTAGGGCTTAGGTTAGTGACCATCGGTTGTACACTACTTTTCAAAATGCATTCTGGGATACATTGAGTGGACTATATAGAGAATAATAATCATCACTATACATTTGGATAGCACTACAAAATGGCGAGCTCACTATATAGTATATATAGATATATTAGGGCTGGGCAACGATTAATCGCATCCAAAGTAAAAGTTTGTGTTTATAATATATTTGTGCGTAGTGTGTATAATAATTTTGTATATATAAATACACACACATGCATATACTGTATATATTTAAGAAAAATTTGTTCTTAATATATCAAATATTTATATTTATACATAATATTAATTGTGTTAATATATATAAATTATATACATGGAAATATTTCTTAAATACATACATGTATGTGTGTGTATTTATATATACAAAATAATTATACACACTACACACACATTTATTATGTAAACACAAACTTTTATTTTGGATTAAACTTAAACTTTTATTTCGTTGCCCAGCCCTAATATATATATATATAAACTTATAAACTTAGAACCTGGAGCTGATAAAAGAGCTGATATAAAATGTAATCATATTCCCTATTTAAGTTTAATATCTTGCATTAGCTTAACATTAGACTATTTGTTTTGCTGTGTATGTCTTTTTTGATGAAAATTCAAGTTGAAAATAGTAAAGTAGAACTTTAGACCTTTTATTGGAGGCATGGATCTGTCTGCCTATTTTATGAGTTGAGCAATTCTTACTGGAAGGTTTCATATATGCCAATATAAGTCTTTTCTTTCATTGTCCTTTGCATGTAAATGTAGAAAGTGGCAGTTTGATGACCGCTATATTTTTAATTGGTAGTCAATTGGTTGCAAAACCTCATGAAATATAGATAGTACCTTATTTGTTGTAACAATGAGTTGAACTGATCTTGCTCCTGTTCTCTAATGATAAGAAGCACTGAAGGAACTAATGATTGAGAAAGTGTTGAAAGATGTATTGAGCCTAGGGGGGAGGTTAAAAAAAATATACAGTAAGTCAATGATTTTGCATTCGCACGCAAAATGTTTCCCCCTCAAGAAACTTTGCGTTTAAGTTTCTCAGGGGAGCGAACATTGTTTCAAGAAAAAATATTTAAATAATGAAATCCAATCTGATCAAACAAACAATTTAAGAGCAAATGCTAATGCAAAAAAATAATTTATGTTATTTTATTTTAATGTGAACTTTTACTGCTTTTTCTTCATGGATCATATTCAAAATATCATAGAGGCATATTCGATTGCTCTGGTTTGTAAGCAGTAGATATTTTCAGGTGACAGGTGACAAAGAACGTTTTCCAAATAAATATGTCTTTGTTTTGTCCAATGTCTGTTTCATTGGAATGGTCCCACATTAACATAATCTCATGTTTATACTGTAAACACAGAAGGCTAACACGTGAGAATCAATTACACTTATGGCAGCTGCTCTCCTCAACAACCTGTATTTCTGTCTTTCATTTTTGTCACATTTATATTTGTAAGATGTATTTATTATAAACATCTTTCACAGTATTTCCCCCATCTATTAAAGAATTATCTGGGCTCTTTATGCCAATGGAAATCATAAAGATCTAATATCCCGCTTTTTCTCTTATCTCTCATGACAGATCTGAGGGGTTTAGAAGCCATCAGGGACAATGAGGAACTCTGGGGCCGTGCTGATTTTGACCTTTATTACCAATTTAATATCACAAGCAGCAGGTGAGCAGTGTTATTGCTTATGAACCTAGCAGTTCAACTTGACTAACTTTATCTTTACACATACACTATCATTCAAATGTTTGGGGTCAGTTAGATTTAGTAAAGAAGTGAATGCAAAACATGATGAGAGTGACACAAAACATGAAAATGAAAGTGAATTTTTATATAAAGGCTTTTATTTTTAGCTTTTTTTATTTTATTTTTTTTAATCGGTTTTCACAAAAAAATATTAAATTGTTTTCAACATTGATAATTGCACGAAATATTTTTGAGCACCAAATCAGTCTTCAGTGTCACATGATCCTTCAGAAATTATTCGAATATGCTGCAGTAATGATGCTGAAAATTCAGCTTTGCATCACAGAATTAAAAGGCATTTTAAAATATATTCAAACAGAAAACCGATCTTTTAAATTATAATAATATTTCACAATTTTACTGTTTATACTATATTTTTAATCAAATAAAATCAGCCTTGGTGAGCAGAAGAGACTTATTTCAAAAACATTTTAAAAATCTTACTGACCCCAAGCTTTTACACGTTAGTATGCACCCGTCATCCATTTTTGCTTTGTCTACTGTTTTGTATTTTTAACATTTAAAGTGATACTCCAAAAGTTGTTGCAAACTTGTACGAGTTTCTTTCTTCTGCTGAACACAATGGAAGATATTTTGAAGAACGATTGGAAATTCCATATTCAAGTACCATGGTACTAAAGCGCTTAAAAGTATACCATTTCTGTTTGTATATTCGTGAACAGTGTATCATAGGCCTTATTAATGCAATGCAAAGCAAACAAATTAGAGTAAATCCTTTTCACAATGAATTGAATATGATTTCATTTACATACAAATATCATATCATTTCATTTACATACAAAAAATATCTATTTTACATTATGTAAATGGCATGAAATGGAAGTTGAGATAGACTTTTAGACTTTTCTTCCCTATTGTGACGTGTATTAGAGCGAAGTGGCTTCTTGAACAAGAAAAAATGTTGGGCTGGACTTGATTTGGTCCGTCGATTCATTGGATGATTGTCGTTAGCGATGTCACGTGAGTGACAGTTTGTCCCGCCCTCGCTTTATCAGAAAAAATAAGATTACAAGTGCACATTAATTCAAAAATAAATCATTTAGTATAAAAAATACTATATTCCATAAAAATAATAGCTATCAATCTTGATATCATGGTGACTTTAATGTGTCGTGGAAGACTAATTCGCCACTGGTTCCTTCAAAATTTTCATATGGGGTTTTATAATGGGGTTCTTCAATTTATGAGTAAAATAAAGCCTGTGGGATACATAACTTGACTGTACTTTGACGTTTTGTCCTACAACTTAAATTACGCACACACCCATAGCAAAAAGCAATTTTTGAAAACATGTATTTTTTTTAAAAAAGTAACCAGAAAAGCTTGGGGTGTGAGTGTGTGCAGTGTAACACTGTAGCACAAAATGTCAGAGTAGCCTGTCGTCAAGTTATGTTTACCACAGACTTTATTTTACTCATAAATTGAAAAAAAAAAAAAAACATTGTAAAAACCTACAGGGAAATCTTGAAGGAACCAATGGGCGAATTAGACTTCCGGATTCTCTATGCAGTCTAAATGAGCACGATATATATCCGCAGGTGTCAGTTCCCCAGGCAAACCCAGACTCACAAGCTGTCGCTCTCCAGAGAAGGAGACCTTCACCTGCTGGTGGGAGCCTGGAGATGACGGGGGTCTGCCAACCACCTACGCCCTCTACTACCGTCTAGAAAAGTCAGACTCTATTCTTTTTCCTTTTCTAGAGCCAACAAAGCATTTCCTTTCTAGCTTCAGTGTTTAATGAGCATCTTTTCTTTGTCTTGCCCTTTCCTCTCCAGTAATGAGTGTTTTAAAGTAGATGTTCTCTGCCATGTGTTTTTTTGTTTCTGAGCTCAAATAGGAACTAATCCGAAAGATATACATGACTTGCTTTCAGCCAACACAAACGTGCCCACACACCCTGCCAAATATAATTTACTCCGATTTTCACCAGAGCAGATCCATGAAGTGTTATGCCAACATTATGGCTTTGAGATTCGCCAAGAACTGTAAACAAACAGATCAAACCTACAGTAGTGTAATGCCACACCAAGAGGAGTTCAGAGAATTTATGTTCGTACAGTTCTCATGTGAAGAATGTGCTGAGTTATAATATTCCAAGGGTGCAGTATGAAATTAGCTTGTAATGTTGTTTGGATACATTTACAAAATGTTTCATACACCCCTGCAGGGAAGATGAACTGTCAATATTTTTGGTCCATTTTCCCAGAAAGACTGTACATTCACTGTAAAAAAAAAAAAAAAAGGTTTATTTAGTCAACTTTAAGGAGTACAGTACACTAAACTACTGTAGTTTTGGGGTTGGTAATATTGTTTTTATGTTATTGAATTTACAGTAGTCTCTAATGCTCACTGCTTTTATTGAATCAAAAATACATTACAACTGTAATATTGTGAAATATTACTACAGTTTAAAATAACTTTAACTGTTTTTAATTTTCAAATGTAATTTACTCCTATGATGTCAAAACTGAATTATCTGCATCATTACTCCAGCCCAGCAAACACAGAACGTTCCCCTAACGTTCCCGTATGGTTCCTATTTGGTTATTTTTTTGGGAACCAAATAAGAACGTTCTGGGAACGTTCCCTGTAGGTTATTTTTAGGTTTAATTTTATAACCTAAGGAGAACGTACAGGGAACGTTCCCAGAACATTCCCCTAACCTTAAGGGAACATTCTATTTACGTTAAGAAAACTTTCCTGGGGAACCAATAGTGAACGTTCTGGGAACCAAAAACTATAACGTTCCCAGAACCTAAAATTGTAAAATTGTTTGCTTCAGTGTCACATGATCCTTCAGAAATCATGGTAATATGCTGAGTAGCATCTCAACAAACATTTCATATTACCAATGTTGTAAACAGTTGTGCTGCTTCATATTTTTGTAGAAATTGTGATACATTTTAGAAAGTTCAAATGTAGCATTTTTTATTTTGTAATCATGTAAAATTATGTCACTTTTGATCAATTTTAAAATAAATGATCTCTTAAAAATATATTATTAACCCCAAACTTTTGAATTGTAGTTTAGATTACTTTCAAAGCTGACAGACATGGGCTAAACAATGAGAAACTCATTTTCTTTTTTGGCCCAAACATACATTTTTAAATGAAAAGTATAGTGATGAAGTTTAGTTCATCTTTTGATGGTAACATCATGAGTTTTGAGTATTATGGTTGGCTATCTTTTCGAAATGTTCATCATTTATTCTGGTGTCTGTATCATTTCAGTTATTAAGTGTAAATCTGTCTGTTGATATCTGTCATATTCAGCTCCGAGACGGTCTACGAGTGCCCCGATTACAGAACCGCGGGCGAGAACTCGTGTTTCTTCAACAAAAATGACACATCGCTTTGGGTCAACTATAACATCACCGTGGTGGCCACTAACGCCCTGGGGAAGAATATTTCAGAGCCCGTGGAAGTGGACGTGGTCTATATAGGTATGCTTATACTGTATGTTGTTGTCATCATAAGCTGTATCACCCCCATCCCATTCATTTCTCTTCATCCGCCCCTCTTACCTTATGTTCTTTTCTGCATAATGTGTCATTTGTTTGTAATTTCATTTATTAGTGCATATTGGATGTTACAGAGCGCTGTTGCAGATTTTATTGCAGTGGAGTCATCAATGAGAGGAATGTTATTGCTGCCCGTCTGGAATCGCTGTTGCGAAAGAACATTATTCTGTCGTTTGGGTCATAAAATATTACACACAGTTTCTGCCTGTCACATGTTCTCTCCCTTATTAAGCCAAAAGGGTCTTTTTTTTTACCAATCCAATTTATTCGATTTGTTTATTTTTAGTTCCTGCACAATTTGACATGTCAAGTTCTTTTGATCTGAACAATTGTGCAGTCCAATTCCTTCTTATCATTAACTCATATGTACAACTAACTGAGACTAAACTTTAACTATGTTTTTATGCTGAAGGGGCGAAACATTCACAATACGAAGCACACTTTTCTGTTCTTTCTTTCATCCTTCTTCAGCACGTTTTCAGGTTTGTGCGCAAAGGTCACTTAGGTTGACCTTATTAGGTGTCAACTAGCTTTTTACCCTCAATCTGGAAGAAACTAGTTCTGAATTATTGCTGAATGTACGGAATTTGAAATCAATAGTTCACCCTAGAATGAACATTATGTCATCATTTCAAAATCCTGCATTTGTTACACAAAAATATCAGAGCTGTATGATCAATCAAAGTAAGGGGCTGTCAAACTCCAAAACTGGGTTGTTACTGTATATAAGCAAATGAGATTTAAAAGCTACAGTAAATGGCAAAATGTTTAGTGAATGATGCAAATCCTAGTCTGTTAAGTTTTTTGTCCTAATAGATTGACATTCTACGATATATTAAATTTAGGGCTAAACATGGCAAATTTGCATGACATATTTTGATATAGTTCAAAACCAAAAAAGCTCAGATGGGAGTGGAAAATCTACCTAGAGCAACACACATTATCATCTGGTTTAAGATATGCTTTTTTGGGGGCGTTAAAGTGATACTCCACTTTTTTTTTTTTTTTTGAAAATAGGTTCATTTTACCACTCCCCCAGAGTTAAACAGTTGAGTTTTACCGTTTTCAAATGCATTCAGCTGATTTTTTGATATTTAGAAGAATATCAGTAACCAGACAGTTTCTGGTCTCATTGACTTTCATAGTATTTTCCTGTCTGGTTACTGATATTCGAAAACGGTAAAACCCAACTGTCTAACTCTGGGGGAGTGGTAAAATGAGCCTATTTCCAAAAAAAGTGGAGTATGCCTTTAAATAATGGCTCAAATACCAGTAAATTGACTAGTGCAAACCTTAGAAAATCACCCTGCATATTCGTTTGAATATTCTCGTCCCATAAATTTTGCGTCTGAAATGGAAGCTCATGCATGCAATATGGTCAGCCGCAAAAATAACCCTGTCCACACCTTTTCAGCGCTAATTTTTCACTGCGTGTCTTTAGTAAATCCTGACAGTAGTTTTATAACTCCAAATAAGGGTTTGTGCTGGCGCAAGCAGTTTATAAGTCTGGCCCTTTGTTTGACATGCGGGTGAGTAAATGATGACAGAATTTTCATTTTTGAGTGAACTATATATTACATTCAAAATGCCATGATCTACACTACCATTAAAAAGTTTGGAGTCCGTTTTAAAAAAAAAAAATTATTAATACTTTTATCCAACTGATCAAAAGTGACAGCAAGGATTTTACAGTATTACAAAATATTTTTATTTCAAACGCTGTTCTACTGAACTTTCTGTTCATCGAGGAATCCTAATGAAATGCCTCACGGTTTTATCACACACTCTTAGAAGAAAAGGTTCTATATATTATTTTAAGGGTTCAATAATAACAATAATTTAGGCTTCTTTGTAACCAGGAAAAAGGTTCTATATGGAACCTTTTGGGTTCATTCATTATCATTTGTTTTGTCCTTTCCGGATTAATTATTTCATATTATTGACAAACATCAAGACCCTAAAATGCATTTATGAATTCATGTGAATGATCACAAAATTCAAGATATGGGGGTTAGAAAATGTACAGTATACATTTATATCATTTTATATCGTTAATCAATATCACACAAAGAGTGCCATTTCATTTTTTCTCCTCCAAAAATCAACATGATTAAAATGTGACATTAAATGTGATATTTTATTACTACAACAGTTACAACTACAAAATGTTGCAGAGTAATGTAATATATGAATGAATAATAGCCTATAAAGATCCTTTGTGCCAAAAGGGTACTTTCTTGTCATTATAGAGTAAAGAACCCTATGGTTCATATATAGAACCCCAATGAACCCTTTTTTTCTAATGTTTCTGGATCATATTATCACATTAGTAGGTTTACCTCTTGCTTATCCTCTCCTGTCCTCTCTATTTCACCCACAGTTCAACCAAACACTCCAGAGAACGTCACAGCCGTAGTGGTCCATGAAGACCAGGGTCCTTTTGTAAGAGTGACCTGGGAGAAACCACGAACCGCAGACACCCGCTCAGGGTGGATCACGCTCCTTTACCAGCTACGAGTTAAACAAGAAAAAGATAAAGAATGGGAGGTGGGTTGAAAAAATAATTATGTTTGATTATCGATTAGTCTAGATTTATTGACTGGACTATTTAGATTTGCGCCACCTAGAGGAATCAACTAGAATGCAGTTTGCCATCTTCACAACAGTACTTTACACGCTTGTTTTCTTGATATGATGGACTGGTGTTTCCATCTGACTTGTTGAATGTGAGCTTTTTAAATATTAACAACTAGGCTAGAAAATAGTTAACGGTTGTTTGTTTGTGACTTTATCCGAGATCTTAAATGAATGGAATGCATTTGGACAGGCAGTGGCTCGACATTAAATAAGCTGTTACTGAAAGCAGTTTAATCATTGACTGTCACTGCCTGGATTTATGTCTTCATTAGTCTGCAGGAACCTGAGGGAGGCTAGATGTGCAGAACAAAAGGGACTAGATCAAACCAGATTTTTTTGCTTTTTTTACCCCAAAGGCTGTACTTCAGTAAGACAGAGGCATGAACATAAATGATTGCCTAGTGACAGACTAACCTGAGAGCAACAATATTGGCTCAATGAACTGAGACAACACATGCAGTTGTCTTGATTTTAAGAGTTAACTGCATAAACATTTAAGAAAATATTTATTTTGATCTGAATTCGACCAACATATTTTGCAATATGCAGAATATTGTATATTCTTTATTTTTAAGGCATTTTATTGATAAATAAATGAAGAAAGTTATTGTTAATAATTAAATATATTTAATATATTTTCATATTGATCTTAAATGTTCTCTTTATGTGTGTGTAGAAGTATGATGCCGGCATGCAGAAGTACTATAATGTGTTCAGTCTTCACCCTGGTAAAGAATACATGGTGCAGGTGCGATGTAAACCTGATCATGGCTTCTGGAGTGAGTGGACCCAAACCAGCTATGTCAAAATGCCTGACTGTAAGTCTTTTTTCTTTTCAATTTTTAAATTTGGTTATTATAAATTTTTTTATAGGTTTTTTTTTTTTTTTGAGATTTTAATCTTTGAGTGTTTTTGTTTAAAAATGCTGTAGAATATATACGTGTATATATATCAATGTTGGAAGCTGTAATACATTTTATTTGATGAATAGAAAGATCCAAAGAACAGCATGTATTTGAAATAGAAATATTTTGTAACTTTATAAATGTCTTTACTAACACTTCAAAGTGACTATCAATTTGATGATATTGCTGAATAAAAAATATATTTTTTTATAATTATTATTATTTTCTTTTCTAAAAGATCTTCCCCCAAACATGTTAATTGTAGTGCATCACTGTTTCCACAAAATTTGTTTTGCAAGCACAACTGTTTTCAACATTGATAATAATAAGAAATGTTCAACTTTGACATCACAGAAATAAATGACATTTTTAAATAGTTATAAAATATTTCATTTAAAATATAAGAATATTTAGCAAAATTCTTGTTTTTACTGTAAAGGCAGCTTTTGTGCGCATAAGAGACTTTTTTTAAAAAACATTAAAAATACTAATTACTCCAAACGTTTGACCCTCTGTCTATATTATTTTTATTTTTATTTATGTTGATATAAAATTGATTGTTTTCTGCATTATGGAAATATAATACAACTATTACAAATTAAATGCAGCATATCAGCATAACAATTGGAGTTGAAAAGTTATTCACAAACATTATTTTCTAGTTTAACTCACATTTGATAATATTTACCCAATAATATACCCATATCTTGAGTTCTCAAACTGTTCAACTTGCCAGCTGCTAAAAAATAAAAACCTGCACCAGTAATGATGCGAAAAATGGTACACTCTAAAAAAACCCAAAATATGACAAACCTAAAAATGTAATGCAACGGCTGGGTTAGTCCATATTTGACCCATAGTTGGGTTAAAACAACCCAGCATTTTTTAGAGTGTAACATCTGAAAATATGTGCCCTCTTTTCAGCTTAAACACATGTAAGAGAAACAAAACATTTCTGGTCCAGTAGTTTGAGGTAATCTTGAAGTCTATTAAATGATCATGCAGCACCGCCAGAGAGCCGTCTGAGGACCATATTCTGTGTTTCTATGGTCTCCCGCTGAGCTTGAGAACAAATCTGTTCTCCGCATATGTATCTAACAGAGCAGACAATTCTAGAGGGAGTACCAACAGGCTTTCAGTTTCTCCAGGGAGTCGTGACCTCATCTTTACCCGGCTAGCATAACCTCAGCCGCGCATGCTTTTGTGCTGCAGCTCCTGTTGGGCCTCAGTTGCCCTGGAGCTTCCGAGGAAAGTCAGGCCCGGAGGGAGACGCACCTGACTACGGCAAGCATGAAATAGAGCAAAACGAGTCAGAGATCAGCCTGTTTACAGCTCACAGCATTTTCACATACCACACTGGTCTAATTCGTTTATTTTGAGAGTTTTTTTAATAGTATTTTTGGTCATTTTTTTTAATGCCGTGACCCAATTTTTACCCTGTATTTATCCTGTTCTTTTTAATTTTTGGTAGTACTGTGTCACCCCAATCTAGTGTCATCATACGTAGAAAACAAATTGCAGTGGAGATGCACTCTATTCATCACCATTTCCTGTTTTTGTGTTTGTGCTGTGTAGATATACCCAGAGAGCGTTCGCTGTGGATCATAATCATGGTTTTCTCTGTCTTCTTCGTCCTCATCCTCACCTGGGCGCTAAACATAAATAGAAACAGGTGTGTTTTTTGAGCCTGAAACATTTCCACCACTCAGTCCTAAATTTATTTTATTTTAAATTTGTTTTATTTCATTTTATATATATTTTACTTTATTGTAAATGTATGGAGCCCCTAAAGGGACATGTTCTTTGTGTGCAAAGTTATTTTTTTCTTTACAATGTACCTTTAGGGAAATGAATGTATTGTTTTTGTTTACAGATATATTTTGCTGGGTTGATATCTCATCTATTTAGTTTTGCATTTTATTCTGATTTTATCCTGGCATTGGCAAATACCTGTTAGTTCATTCATACATATTAGTGTGATTGAAATCAAATTTGCTCTGGCTATTTATACACATCAATGTTCTTGCTGACAAATACTTATTATGAAGGATTAAACTGCCATTAGAGGATTAATCCAGATTTTACAGTACTTCACTTCACTCTCAAATGTAGATTTTAGGCCAGTTTCTCTCTACATAGATTTAAATAGACTAATTACGTTTTCAAATAATGTGAGGGATTCTCAATAGTACAAGAACAAATGGGATCCAAAATTAATCTCTTAAACCTGTCGGGACACGTGGAAGCTTTTGTTCCGTATTGTAGATAAATCCATTTTCAGTATATCCATAATGCTTATAATATTATGATCATGCATGAAAAGCATTTGTTGATAGACATTGTTCTTAACCATGCATTAAGAGAGAAATGAAGACCAATTACTATCAAACACCTTTGGAAAATATAATAAGTGTTTATCCAAACGATTACATTTTATCTACTAAAATTTATTTTGAGCAATTCATTATAAATGTTTAGAATCTCACTTTTTTTTTCTCCCAAATATATTTGCATTCAGTGTGAAGCTTTGTTTGCTGCCTCCTGTTCCTGGACCGAAAATTAAAGGATTCGACAAACAGCTGCTCAAGGTAATAAAACGGTCACTCGTGGAACTCAGAGCCAGTTTCCAAATTATCTTTGAAAGTTTTCAAGTTAGCTTTAAAAATAGAAGTGTCCATAGTGTCATTATTCAGCTCAAGCTAGTTCAGCGTTGAAGATTCGGTCACCATCGAGGAAACGTCACATGTTTTTTTAACTATTAAAGTTGAATTTATTTAAAGGAGCATTTCACCCATTTCAACATTAATCTTTATTGAAAGTGGATCATATATGTAGTCGAAATGTAAACGAATTTTTGAATTTGGTGCCCTCTTGGGTCTTGAGTCTTGAGTCTTGACCGAGAAAAGACAGAAAATAACCGAGGGGCGCATTTGTATGTAAGACAACAACTCCCACAATGCACCACATTGCACAGATCCGCAAGCCACACCCACTAATCCGGAACAGCGCAAACAGAGAAATCACTCTTCCGTCTACAAGGCTAACTTTAGCTGTCACCAGAGTTTGAAATTCATTTCACCAAAAAATGTCTAGTTAGTTGGCTGTTGGCGTGAGTGAGACACCTGTGAGGCGCGTGCCAGTCTCGTGTCTCTCACAGAGGAGCGAATGCATAAAATGAGGAGCGACGACGGCAGATCGAGAGAGAAACAGGCCTGATTTTATGTTGTTTTGTTTCTGTTCTATTGGTCCAATGAAAGTTGGACCAATCAGTAGACGTTGCTACTACGCTTAGGATTGTGGGTAGTGTAGTTTTTTTCATAAGATTGCGGATAAAACATGTTTTTCTTTAAACAAGGTTGATTTCATACAAACTTATAGCTTCAACAGGAGCAAAAACCTTCGTTTCACAACCTCACAGCTTGCGGTCAGTCTACCTCGGATGGTTTAGACATTAGGGCTGATAATCTAAATCCTTATCGAAAAATACTGTTGACCGGAAGTTCTGGAAGACCGGAAGTGTGACATAGGCTCATTGCATTTTTTGGCAGTTATTTCAAAAATAATGCTTTGCTTTCTTTACAGAGCGGGAAATCCGAGGAAGTTTTCAATTCTCTGGTGATCCAAGGTTTCCCTCCAACCACCGATTATGATGACTTACTGGTGGAGTACCTCGAGGTGTATGACAATGAGGAGCAAGAGCTGGTACTGGATGGTAAAGATCTATTAGAGGAATGCATGAAGTCCAAAAGCCCATCGGACTGCGACTCCGGCCGGGGCAGTTGCGACAGTCGCACCCTGCTCTTGGAGAAGTGCACGGATGGACGGGAAAGAGGCGGAAGCGATCAACATCAATATAGCCAGCATGGAGAAACGAGCTGGGCTTCAACTGAAAGCAGTGAAAGCCAGGGCCCTGAACCCAGTTCTCCAGAGTCCCCTGATGGACGTGTCAAGACCTGGCCAATTGTGTTTTCGTCCCCCCAATCTCAACTTCACCAACACTACCAAGTAGGAGCTGCGAAACCGGCCTACCACAGCGTCCCAGAGATCCTTAGCCATCTGTCCCCACACGCAACAGCAGGCAACTACCATCAGCTTCACCATCAGGACATCCCGCTACAGGAGGGACGCTTCAGCAAGCCGGCCTGCCCACATTCCCAAAGCTACAACCAGTTCAATCGGGACGGCTCCGACTCTCCTGCTCACTGCGTCCCTCCGTCACATTCCTTGGAATACTTAGAGGTGCAGAGGGTCAACCCGGACAATATGCTACTGCTTAGGCCACTTTCAGACCCTAACCGTGAGGCTGAAGGGTCCGATCGCATCGGGGAGGACTACAGCAAGGTCAAAGAAGTGACGGCGGACAATATTCTGTTTCTGCAAAGGGAAACGTCCCATCAGTGTGTGGACGATTACACCCAGGCTGATCATTGCACAAGCCAGCAACCACCTCACCCCCGCAAACCTGCCGTCCAGCAATCGTACAGTCCCATGCCACAGGAAGGCGTGAGGGTGATGGTAAACGGTTATGTGGATTCAACAGTCTTGATGCCATCCTACTAGCGCATAGTGGTCCAGTGCATAGAGGCAGAGATGGGATCCGCCTCGACTACAGCAAAAACAATATCCTAAACACTAAGACTGTCAACAGCTCATGCCAAGCCCTAGAAGAAGCGCTTTATCTTGCTACATTGGTTTAAGAAAGAGGATTTGTGAGTGCATAATATGCCATTGAAAATACATACGGGTAAGGGGTTCTAATGTCGGTCGCCATGTTGCCCCTCCATCTTGAAAGTACATTAGCCAAAGAGGGACATACCCGTTAATTCAAGCTTCGCCTTTCGCGTTTACGTTTGAGTTAACACTCATGGACGAGATCGAACCGGAAGCCATGTTAATCTTGGACTACATAGGAGCCACCGTAGGAATTAAAACGAAATCAGAATTGAGAGGAACAGAAACTAATATTCACTGGATGCTCATATAAATTTTCCCCGCTAGATGGGGGTAAAAATCACACAGTGTAGCTTTAATATGTCTCTGGTACAATTTTCACTTTTGGCTAGATGTTACCCAAAAGCAAAATAGCTATTTAGGCTTTAGCTGTGTCTCAAACAATGTATTATACACTATGCACTTATGCGCTATTTACTCAACCGTGCTGTGTATGAATTTTGTAAGGTTATTTTGTCATTCAGCATCGGAGTCTGCCTGATAGCCCCTCCCCCTCCTTTACATGAAAATCTCATGGGTATTTAAAGTGTTCACGTTTAATTAATTTAAATTTTTTGTTTAATAGTATTTACTTGCATATTATGGTGTTCATTCTGGAAACAGTGTAATTTCCGCCGTACAATTCAAAATGTCTTCATATTTTAGGTGCACTCATGCAAATAGATATACATGAAAAGGGATTTAAACTGATTGTAAACTGTCAAATTTGCCTTTGATATTTACAACTCTCAGGTGGAGGTAAACTCGCTTAAACACTTCTGCCGAATGTATTTATTATAAATGTTATTGGCGCTGATTTTGAACACAAAGGCACAACAATAAAAAAAAAAATGAATTCCCAGTTTGTCCAAGTAAATTATTCGCTGTAAGAATTTGTGTTTCTCTGAATGTTAACCCTGTGAGAATCTATTTTTCCAAATCTGTAGCCTAGGTAGCTATTAATTCAGCATTGCATATTTTTTTATGTTTGATATAAAAAAGAAAATCTAAAAACAATTTATAAAACTAATTCATTCCAAAATAACCAGATAGTTATTATCTTGTTGATGCACAAATCACTAACCATTAAAACCAGTTACATGGAGACGAGTTAACAAAATAGGCCCTTGCCAGTGCAAGAGTCAAACTCCAAGTTGCCTTATTTTATGCAGAAATATCTGAGAGAAGACTGGTGTGTATTTGTTGGAAGGAGTTAAACACACTAAATCTGTTTATGTCTAAAGTGTACATGTAAATATACAATAAATGAAATTGTTATATAATATGTAGAAATGCATTTATATGTAACAGATATTACAGATAAATAGTTTTGTTGGGTTTGCCTAAGCCATACAGTATAAATCATCCTATAATCTAACTTTGTTGATTTGTGAGTAGCATAACATTTTTTATGTCTTTGTTGTTCAACAGTCATACATTCTCAGTTCCGTGCATAATAAATCTGCATTGACAGAGTAAGGCATCAGTTCTTTAATAGATTGCTATCTCAGGCAATGGAAAATCTACTAAACGTGTGTTTGAAACAGCACCGTGAATTTAACGTGAATTCTCAGGACAACAGTGCGAAATAATATTTCTGTAAGTGTGTAAGCTATCAAAGAAAAGGCATGTGGATATAGCATTATTTTTTCAATATACCAAACCCAATTCAATCAACATTTGCTGTATTAAAATAATGTCAATTCAAAACCATTATTTTGTTATACACTAAGAATATGTCTTGTTAAAATGATGTTGATTTTTTTCATTATGTCTCTTTTTTTATGAATTCAAACAACTAGAGGTGCTGAAATGAAACTTTTGATGTTAACCATGTAAGTTGAATAATCTACAGTTTCTGTAATACATCCTTATTGTGTTCTGCTTTTCCATAACAAACATTATTTGTGAAAGCGCATAGCAAAACCATTAAAACATGTTCAGACTGTTTCAGGAGTTTGAGTGGTTATTATGGGGTGGCTTTTTATTTTGCCCTTAAACACATTTAACCAAATCAGTCAACACACGTACAGTAAACCATATTAGTCATGAAAAATATTGCTTAGTAGAAAATAATTTATTATGCTAAAAAAAAATTAATAATAATTCGATATAACCTATTATTTCTGGTAACACTTTACAACAAGGTCTCATTTGTTAACATTAGTTAATGTATTAACTGCCTTGAACTAACAATGAGCAATACATCTGTTACAGTATTAATTAATCTTTGTTAATTTGAGTTAATAAACATACAGTTTACGGTGCATTAATAATGTTATCAAATACATTTGATTTTAATAATGTATATTGAAATGAACTTAAACTAAGATTAATTAAACTTATTGTGTTATTACTGAATTTTATTATAGTTTATCAAATCTAATTAATGCTTATATAATGGATTTGCATATTTTAAGAAAACAATCTGGGTCTGGAACAATTGGTTAAACAAAAAATATTAAATAATTCTAAAATTATAACATTATTATAACAAAATTATAACTGTTAATAACAATATTTCCAGAAGGATAAAAAAAGGGTTTGTGGACTGTAAGTTGTAATAATAATAAAAAGCCTTATTCCCATAGATTAATTTGACCAATCTGAGTATTTTATATTCTGGACATTTACGTTAATTAATTTAGCATTTCGTGGATACAATCTGATAAGACTGAACAAACTAGATTTGACATAAGCTTTTAGCCATCAAATGTAACATTATAGTTAAAATCCAAACGAGTATCCCTTCTCTGAAGGGACGGACGACACGACACTTCTCAATGAAAGGCCTTGAGACAGTCTATGCCATAGGTCTATGCCTACAGACTTTACCCCCAAATGTAATTGGTTAAGCCCGACCCTCCCCGAACACTCTTTGGGGAAGAATTCGCCGCTTCTCGCCACTTAATTTTTAGATTCGAAGTGGAATTGTTGCGAAACAGTTATAATGCATAAAGTTTGTTCTCGGCTGCACGCCCCGTCTGTGTTGGGGAAAACGGATTCGTGGAAATCACTGAACTTTTGTGTGGAATTCCACAAACAAGTTGGTAAGAGTGTTTTTGTCTCCACATTTAAAGTGACCGGAACATTAGTGTAAAGTTGTGAATAATTGTGGAACGTATAATTTATGCTCCGACCATAACGGTCCTGTCATAACAATAAAGGACGAATATCTATGCGTTTGATTTAACGGCTCTGGTTTTAATTTCCATTCAGTACCATGGTATTTTTGATGACAAATGGGTGTCATCATTATCTACATTATCTATCTATGTATCTATGTATCTATCTATCTATCTATCTATCTATCTATCTATCTATCTATCTATCTATCTATCTATCTATCTATCTATCTATCTATCTATCTATCATAAAACTAGAGAGATTCATAGAGATGGAGAGACTAAAGATACTTAAAAATAATCAATTCTCTTACTGCTGAGAGAGAGAGAGAGAGAGAGAGAGAGAGAGAGAGAGAGAGAGAGAGAGAGAGAGAGAGAGAGAGAGAGAGAGACTGTAACTGTCCTTATGCATTTCTAAGCACTAAAATGTTCCTCTGCCCAGGTGTGCTATGCCAAAAATCAGCAGTGAAACACACACCACCTGCCCTGCCCCAGATTCCCCTATGTGACTATAAACCTGAGCCATATCAGGTAAGAGGCTAATGTTTGGGGACATTCACAATAATTCACATGGAGAAATAAAATCATCAAATACACAGAGAAATAAATGTATCTTTAAGCATGAATGAATTCTCTTATAGGGCATGTCTAAAGAGCGTTTACTAGAGATTAGGAAACACAACTGCAACCCCATGACCATGAAGGTAACATATTACAAGAAGCCAGTCTTCATAAGCCAGGGTTTCATGCAGTGGCTGTGGGATGTGGATGGAAGACGCTATCTGGACTTGTTTGCGGGGGTGGCCACCGTCAGTGTAGGACATTGTAACCCGTAAGGTTCAATTTGTTGCTATGCAACATCTTTATTTGTTTATTTCTTGATGTGCTTTATAGTTTGTTTGAAATTTAATAAATGACTGCATTGCAATTAGATTAATATTTGTAAACTTGTTTATGCATGTTATTGCCCTGAGCTTTTACATGGTCTTAGTTTTTGTGTATGAAATGATGTTGGTTCTAAAATCGAATCAGAAGTTTGAATGTGGTTGCAGGAAAGTGACACAGGCAGCCGAGAAACAGTTAAGACGTCTATGGCACACAACACCCATCTACGTGTACCCACAAATGCAGGAGTATGCAGAGAAACTTGTATCTCTTTTGCCAGACCCACTGAAGGTATGTTTTCATTGCTAGAAATGGAAGGTTGAGCACAGCCGGATTTCAAACTGGGGTCCAGGCTGTTTTGTCTTAGGAAAAGTATTAAAAAAATATTATACTGTAAATGAAATGAAATTAAAGGCACAATATGTAAGAATTTTTTGCCATAAGAGGGCGCAGTTTCCAACCATAACAAAGGCGTAGGTTGATGACGCAGTGATGAGCTGAATGATGGGACTTGCTGTCAAGCTGATGGATCTAATGTTTATGGATGAGTGCAAACATTCATGTTTTTTAACATTACAGTGGTATGAAGCAGGTTGCGATTGCTAAAGAGACCGATATCACACGCGAGGATATAAAGGAATAAGGACATTTAATTCTACCGAACTACCCGCAAGTGCTGGATTACTCACACAGGTCAGTTTATTAGACGAATTAAACTTGTGAGGTAACGCAGCGCTGCTTCACTTGGTCTAACGTTACACTATCACTCTAAACGGCATTTATGTGTGTTGAAAGTTATAATGTTATACTATGTGTTAATTCGTTTGCTATACGAAACTAGCAGTAAGCTAGATCAACTTTAGAATAACATACTGACCATATTCTCATATTTCATCATGTTGAGCTAACGTTATAGAACATTGATTTGTTTTATTTACATTTGCTCACCTGTCTAATAAAAATGTCAAGTCGTGACTTGGGAAGCTCTGTCAAGTCCAAGTTAGTCGTGACTCGTGGATGTGGAGCTCTCGGCATCTCAAAAACGCCACAATGATATTGATTCTCATTTTAGTTCTCCTTATTTGTTCCCAAAGTCTGCTTGCCATGGTCTATGCTTGAAAGAAACAAGAACTGTGTGCCGCTAAACATTACACACTATGCAGTTGTCCACGTCTGTCGCCATGGTTACGTCATGGCTATGGCAGTATGAACGGAAAGCAAGGATAGCGTGGAAAATAAAATGGGAATTTCTCTGAAATAAAAAATCTTTGGAAACTTTTGGGATATTGTAAGTACACAATTGCAGGAAATATATCACACTGTGCAAGTGATTTTGGATATTTTATTACAAAATTCTTACATATTGTACATTTAATTAACTTAAAGGAGTAGTTCACTTTTAAAAAAACTTTTGCTGATAATTTACTCACCCCCATGTCATCCAAGATATCCATGTCATTCTTTCTTCAGTCGAAAAGAAATTAAAGGGTTAGTTCACCCAAAAATGAAAATTAAGTCATTAATTACTCACCCCCATGCTGTACCAACCCCGTAAGACCTTCGTTCGTCTTCGGAACACAAATGAAGATATTTTTGATTAAATTTGAGAGCTGTATAACTACCACATTGGCTCCTAAGGGACTGCCTCTTGACGGCCCAAAAAGTCAATGAAGAAAATGTTTAAATATCCCAAGTGACTACCGTGGCTCAACTATATGTTTACCAAGCGACGCGAATACTTTTTGTGCGAAAAAACAAACAAAAATAACGAGTTTATTCGACTATTTTTTTCATCCTTGTAGGCCAGAACGAGACTTCCTTATAGATTTCCACGACGCATGAGCGAGATTTGCGATCTGCGTACACAGCTTACACTACTTCAGATCGCAATTCTCGCGCATGCGTCGTGGAAATCTATAAGGAAGTCTCGAAAAACATTTTCTTCATTGACTTTTTGGGCCGTCAAGAGGCAGTCCCTTAGGAACCAATGTGGTAGTTATACAGCTCTCAAATTTAATCAAAAATATCTTCATTTGTGTTCCGAAGACGAACGAAGGTCTTACGGGGTTGGTACAGCATGGGGGTGAGTAATTAATGACTTAATTTTCATTTTTGGGTGAACTAACCCTTTAAGGTTTTTGATGAAAACATTCCAGGATTTTTCTCTCCATATAATGGACTTCAATGGGAACCAAACGGTTCAAGGTCCAAATGAGAGTTTCAGTGCAAACTGCACACTGTTCAAAGGGCTTTAAACGATTCCAGAAGATGAATAAGGGTCTGATCAGGCGAAACGATCGCTCGTTTAAAAAAAGCTCAAATGGTCGCCTTGCTTTGTTCTGTGATGCGCGTTCGTGACTCTCCTGTTCGAACTCGTTCATCAAAATGAACAAATCTTTTCCTGAGTCAATTCGTTCATTTCGTTCGTTGAAGTAACCAAATGACACGAAAAAAAAAAGATTTGTGATTCGCGACCATTTGAGCTGTTCAAAGCCAAGGGCTTTAAACGATTCCAGACAATGAATAAGGGTCTTATTAAGCGAAACGATTGCTCATTTAAAAAAAAATAACAAAGTTTAAGTTTTATAAGCTCAAATGGTCGTGAATCACACATTTTTTTCGTGTCATTTGGTTCATACATCAAACGAAATGAACGAATTGACTCGGGAAAAGATTTGTACATTTTGATGAACGAGTTCGAACAGGAGAGTCACGAACGCGCATCACAGAACAGAGCAAGGCGAGCATTTGAGCTTATAAAACTTAAACTTTTTTTTTTTTTTTTAAATGAGCGATCGTTTCGCTTGATAAGACCATTATTCATCGTCTGAAATCGTTTAAAGCCTTTTGAACAGTTTGCAGTTTGCACTGAAACTGTCTTTTGGACCTTGAACCGTTTGATTACCAGTGTATTATATCTGGAGAAAAATGCTGGAATGTTTTCATCAAAAACCTTAATTTCTTTTCGACTGAAGAAAGAAAGACATGGGCATCTTGAAAGACATGGGGGTGAGTAAATTAGCAACATTTTTGTTTTGTTTTTAAAGTGAACTACTCTTCCCATATATTTCAGTTTGTAATATTGTGATGGTCTATTTTTCTAGGTTGTGTATTTTACCAACAGTGGCTCGGAGGCTAATGACCTTGCAGTGCTAATGGCCAGACTTCACACAGGAAATTTTGACGTCATCACTCTCAGGTGAATGAACTTACTTGCCATTAAATCTTTCCAATAATTGAACAAATCGAAGACGGGGAGTTCTTGGGCAATCTGTTGGTGTCAGCTCAAGCAGCCCTGTTCAACTATAGATACAGTAATCTCACTGCATCATTTGTGTTTGTCTGCGCAGGGGCTCTTATCATGGTGGCAGTCCACAAGCGACAGGTCTGACATCCAACGCAGATTACAAATATCCCATCCCCTCTTCTCTGGGCTGCCATAATGTACATCTCACACCCACACATCTCTCCTTCTGTCAGCTACCTGCTTTATAATGTGATGTTCCTCAGTATCAGGTCCACAAACCAAATTATAAGAGGAAACATCAGAAGTTATTTTGGTGTATGAGTTTAATGCAAAAGTAACAGAATTACTGTCAGACTTCATGAGGTTTGAAAAACAACCCAGTACATAAGATGGTATCTGTGCTTGTTTCCACCTTGGAATAAAACAAAATAGAAGTTTTTAATCTCACAATTCTGACATTTATTTCTCGCAAATTCGAGTTATAAATTCTGAATTGCAATAATTTCACAATTCTAAGAAATAAAGTCAGAATTGTAAAATATAAACTTGAAATTATAACATTTATCTTGCAGTTTAAATCTCACAATTCAGACTTTATAACTCGCAATTGCTTTCTGAGAAATTGATATTTATGGAAACCTGTGTTCACCACGGAATAAAAAAATACAAAAAGTAAATGCAACTCTTTTTTTGAAAAGTCAGAATTGTGATATTGAAAAAAATTATTTCCTTTTGTATTTTTTTTTTTCGTGGTGGAAACAAGCGTCGATAAATATCTGACCCATACAAAATATTAATATATTTTATTTCAGTTTTTTGAAATGCGTTTGAGTTTTGAGGTCTGTCTTGCAAAACTTTGTGGGTTTCATTTCCTATGTGGGTTGTGTTCATTGTAGACCATGTGTCCCGATGTGTTCAGCGGCCTCTGGGGAGGAAGCCACTGTAGAGACTCTCCAGTTCAAACCATCCGAGAATGCAGCTGCTCCCCAGGTACAAACACACACACACAAGCATAATGAGGGCATATCATCGGCTTCTACTGTTTTTATATAAAGCTAATAATATATTATAAATCTACAGCCACAAATATAACGTAACAAATATATACTATAAATATGGTCACACTTTAGATTAGGGTCCAATTCTCACTATTAAAGAACAATTAACTATGACTTTTGCCTCAAACTCCTAATTACTGCTTATCAATAGTTAGTAAGGTAGTTATTAAATTTAGGTAGGATTACAGAATGTAGAATATGGTCATGCAGAATAAGGTTTTAATATGTGCTTTATATGCATTAATAAACAGACAATTTACTAGTAATATCCATGCTGTAACGATCACCAGCTGGAGTGCCCTTGAGAGCCACCAGACTATTATTACTACATTTCCCATAACTCACTGCCCAGACTTATCATCACTGATTGCATTTACCTGTGTCTCATTACCTGTTAGTCTTTGTCTATTTAGACCATGTTCACTCATTTACTCACTGCGAAGTTTTGTATGTTTCCGAGTAATTTCCCTTGTTTCATGTCTCTTGCTTTTTGGATTTCTTGCCTGTTCCGTGGATTACCCTTTCGCCTCTGACCCCGTCCCTGATTTGTTTGTTTGGACTGCCTGCCTGTGTTTTGACCTATTGCCTGTTTATTGGATTACGTGTCTGGATTGCCCCTATTGAGGCCAGCATCAATAAGAACATTCTAATGTGCTTAAAACCACTCAGAACATCTTAGCAACACCCTGGCAACCACTCGCAAGGCCCTAGCACAGTGGCAACAAGTTCTACACAAGCACCACTCGCATGCTCCTCAAGTCTAGCTCTTGTTCAATTGTTTGCACAAATTTCATGCATGATAGATTGTGAATCTCTGATTCTGTCTGTTCTCAGGTCACTGTCAGGCCAATGATATGTATATCGGTCAGTTCAAAGAGATGCTTGCTACAACTGTTCCCAATCGTATTGCTGCCTTCTTTGCAGAACCCATCCAGGTTTTATTACACCATACATTTCACTGAATCGGTGTTTGTATAAATGGAATTATAGAAACAAAAAATGCTATGAAAATCCTAAAAAAAATCAGCACTGAAACTTCTGTAGTAAACTTCTAACTTCTGAAACTACAACTAACTATAACTATATAATATAACTAATACTATAACTTTGCTAATAGATGTAATAAGTTAATTAGCACAACATAAGAGCAAATAACTCATGTTTTTGTAAAGCAGGATGTCAGTATTTTGCCGTATATGGTATATTGTAGCACAGTCTAGTTAATGGGAGACTGTATTTAATGTGTATAATTAAATAAAATGATTCTGATCAGTAACTCCTTCCATTTTCATCCAAGTGTAATTAAATAAACAGGCTAGAAGCATCCATGGAAGTGAAGTCTGCATCTTTATATTTATTGCATATTTTTCCAGTCCTGACTAAAATCAACAAATATGCGAAATATTACTGTTGTAAAAACAAAATACCACTAACAAGCTTGTCACCTCCAAATATTCACATATGGCATGTTACATCATGATTTTCATCTTTCTGCAGGGTGTTGGTGGGGCTGTTCAGTTTCCAAAAAACTACCTGAAAGACTCCTACCAGCTTGTTCGGGAGAAAGGAGGAATCTGTATAGCGGATGAGGTCTGAGAATTTGAGTAAATCCTATTCTGTACATCGGTGAAGCCAAACATGCAGTGTTGGTGCTTTAGATAGTAGAGATGACTCAGAATGATCACTCATGTTTTTAAAAAACAAACTCTAGGCTGCATCTGAAATCGGATACATCCCTAATGTATAGTAGGCAAAAAAAACAAAAAAAAAAACAGTATGTGACAAAAGTAGGGGGTCTGGATTAACAGTACTCATAAAACAGTAGACAAAAGTCATCAGATTACTTACTACTTCCAGCAAGATTCTGAAATGTTCATAAGATGGACACTTTACTATCCCTATGAGGTTTTTTGGTGTAAGGTTTACTTTGAAACAATTTTCACTGTAAATTGCTAGTAAATTTCACAAATAATTACAAAGAAATGGCAAGTGACACATTTAATTAAAAATTAAATGTTTAAGTGTTTTTATGTAAACATTTTTACATTTTTGAAAAAATCACAATTACAGTGTGAAAAAAATTATTATTTTATTTATTGCTATTTTTGGTTCTTTTAGGTCCAGACTGGCTTTGGCCGCACAGGGAGCCACTTTTGGGGTTTCCAAGGACATAATGTCATTCCAGACATGGTTACCATGGCAAAGGGCATTGCAAATGGCTTCCCGATGGGGGCTTTAGTCACCACAGCCGGTGAGGCTAGAGACTGCTACTGTTAAATCAGCCAAATTCTGATGAACTTATTGTGTGATTTACTAAATAAAGCTATCAACTGGTTTTTAAAATGTATTCTGTTTTAGAAAGTTTGCGTTCATAGTCTAAATTAACTGCCTTTAGACATGGAGAGACACAAGCACAGAATAAGGGACTATGCAGAAAAGGGAATGGTGAAACTGGAAGCAGCACTATGAACCCAGTACTTAGGTCGAATTCAAGTTCCCACATGGCAGTCAATTAAAATATTGTCCGAACAAAATAACTCTCTCATGTTACATTAATGTGGGAGGCTCAACGTTGTTCACCTCAACACTTTGTTATTTTAAAAAGATCTGGTTGAGTATTTCATATTGTAAAACTCTGCGGTTAAATGCAAGATATTCTTTTTTGCTTTTTAAAGAAAGTTTTATTTGAGATAGGGCTCCTAATGTGGTACCACAGGGCCACATTCACCTCATTCACACATGTGGATCAAATAATGAGTTCAAATTCCTTACTAGTCCCACATACCTGAACGTTGAAAGCAGGCTGGAGTGCCACTGCTTGCTTGCCTATTTTTTCATTCACTCTAATTGGTCCTCTGGCTCTCGCTGTTTGCTCTTCATCCTGTGAGAAGCTGAGAGAGAATTGTGTTAAATCACATACAGCCTGAAAAGTTTGAACGCATCTAAAAAGTAAATAAAAACTTGAAGTATCTTGTCATGAGTGTGTTATGCATTTATTGTTGTTTTCAATATTGATATCATGCGATTTGCGTATTTTGCAGAGATTGCCAGGTCATTTGCCAAGGGAGTTCATTTCAACACATTCGGAGGAAACCCATTAGCCTGTGCAGTCGCCTCATCAGTGTTAGATGTAAGTACCGATCATTTGACTTTTTAGTTGTGTACAGTTTACATTTATTTAGTTTTGGTGTCAGCAGTAGTGATTACATAAAATGTAATTTTAAGTGTGATCAATTATAAACTAGAACAAAAATAAAATAAGACGTGGTATTATGGTAAATAATTATTATGGTATCTACATAGTTGTGAGTGAGTAAACAGTGCTAGGTATAGTAAACGAATACATGTAATCTGGATGACTGGATTACATAATCAGATTCCAAATAAAAAAAGTACTTGCAATTAGATTTCATTTTAAAATACTTGTATGAGAATAGTTATCTTTTTATTGATTACAATTACATATCAGACAAATTTATTGATTCTCACTAATTCTGTTTTTTTTTTCTTCTTGAAAATGCCTATGGCACAGTCAGAGGATATAGATTAAATTCCAGTTTTAGGTTTCCATTACACGAGAGTAGATGTAAAAACTTCATGCTGATTTGTACTCAGTCTTCGCCAAGATAAGCACAAACTAAGACGTAGCTTTACAGTAACCTATGCTTCTCCGTCCATTTACGCTTCTTTCCATATGGTGATATGAATCTCCTTCTGTTCGGTGTTAACGTCTGCAGTGTACTTGGTGCGTCAGCACACATGACGGCTGCAACCACAGTTTGGTTCTCCCCAGTGGACCAGCTTCACAACCGTCTGGATTGAGCCGAGTAGGGGACATCTCTAGGGCAGTGGTTCTCAACTCCAGTCCTCGGGACCCTGTGCTCTGCACATTTTGTATGTCTCTCTTACCTGACACACTCAGTTCAGTTCATAGAGTTGAGGAACTGAATCAGGTGTGTTAAATATGGGAGACATACACAATATACAGAGCAGACTGGAGTTGAGAACCACTGCTCTAGGGTCTTCAAGTGGGCACCTTCCGTCCTCAGTGTTTCGTCTCAAGAGGGCTCAACGGTGACTCTGTCACCCCCCTCCATCCCCGACTCAACTCAGCCCAGCTTGCTGAACTTTACATCCCTCTCACTGCTGAGGTTGCTCCTTCCTCGTAGTTCACATGTGACCTAACCACAATTTTACAATCTCTCCGCAACCCAACCATACACACCAACTCGTTTGACTCTCGTCGTTAAAGCAGGTTCAGTAAAGCATTGGTTCTGTATGGCATACTACCAGTGGTGGAGGAAGTACTGAATCTCAGTACTTAAGTAAAAGTACAAATAACCAGATAAATATTTACTTTAGTAAAAGTAGAAGTAACACAATGACAACCATAAGTAAAAAGTAAAAAGTACCTGATTTTCAATGTACTTTAAGTATTAAAAGTAAAAGTACTTGCATAACAATTGATTCTCTTAATGACTATTTTCTAATGATTAATAAAACATTTAATTCTAACTCATTCAACCTAATACTCCTATAATGATGTTCAATGATGATGGAAAAAAATTGCTTTCACCATTTCTGAAACAAGCTTGCAATTAGGCAATATAAACCATATGTTAATAACTATGTTTGCCAGTAAACGCGATTAATTTATGGTGTAATTCTGAACCTCTTGGCTTGCCATAATTCCACACGGTGTGTTTCCTATGCACGTAAAAACAAATTTTCGCATATAAATTGCACGAAAAACACACTGCGTGCGAGACGCATTTAGTTGATGTATCTATGGCAACCGAATGTCACTGGTGAGACAAACGTGCAACGAACGGACGGTCAGATTCCGTTTTGGCAGGGGAAAAACAGAAAATGTAATGAAAATGTAACAGAAGTTGTAGAAATGTAGTGGAGTAGAAAGTATAATAATTGCTGCAAAATGTAACGAAGTAAAAGTAAAAAGTATGCACTATTTATTCTACTTAAGTAAAGTAAAGATACGTGAAAAATGTACTTAGGTAAAGTAACAAAGTATTTGCACTTCGTTACATTCCACCACTGCATACTACCTACTGCAAAACACAATTCCTGCCCAAACACCAACCCTCACGCAATATACACAGGGCCGTAATTACTATGCAAACTGTACAAATCAAAACAACAGACTCTTCGAGTTTTTCAAGAATTCTACGAACCTGTAGCGTGGCGGCCTGTACACAGCCAGTTAGAATCTTTCCGTCTCATCCACAGCCAGTTGCTGCTCCTCTCTGCTGCTTCAGATAAGTTATTTGGACTCCATCCTCGCTGTTCTGCTTCAGCAGCCAGATGACCATAGAACATCATATGTTGATCTGATAAGGAAACTGATCCACTCTCTTCCATTGACCAAAGGTCTTGCCAGCTCATCTTGTGTTGTTCCACACTCTACTCTCCTCGCTTGGCCTGGGAAATGGCCTTTCTACACCTCATCGTCTCCTTCTTTCCCATCTTGACTACCAGCTTCCTCCTTTGGGCTGGGCCTGCCTTGTGCCATTTAAGAGGAGCTAAACTGAGCCCAAAACCCCCTCTTCCATGCTTTACCTCTCCCACAATGTCACCAATTTGGAGAGAAAAAGCATCAGCATCAAGCATCAGTCAGTTTCGTCCTATTTCACTATTAAATGTTGAGATTATCAACACCTATAAAAGAATGGCTTCACTGACGCTTCAGTTCAATAAGCAGGCATTCCTGGGTTTTTTAGGATGCTTAGAACAAATGTGAAATACTCAGACCGGCCCGTCTGGCACCTACAACCATGCCACGCTCAAAATTGCTTAAATCACATTTCTTTCCCATTCTGACATTCAGTTTGGTGTTCAGGAGATTGTCTTGACCAGTACCACACCTCTAAATGCATTGAAGCAACTTCCATGTGATTGGTTGATAAGATCATTGCATTAATGAGAAATTGAACAGGTGTTCCTAATAATCCTTTAAGTGAGTGTATGTGATAAATGCGTTAGGTCAAATAATCTAAATGTAATCAAAAAGTGGCCCAAATAAATTTACCTAAAAAGCTTAAAGCTAATAGATTACATTACTAGCTACATTGTTTGTCATGTACTAATTTGTAATCAGTAACGGCTGATTAAGTAATCTACCACAATAATATACATCATACAATATCTGCTATCGGCAATACTGAATACATAAAATGTCATTTTAAATGAGATAAATAATAGTATAATGATGGATGGAACTGCATTATTTGTAATATTATATGATTCATACTAGCTATTAAATACTTGAAATTGAAAGTTGTATGTTGGTTTCAGACAATAAAAGAAGACAAGATGCAGGAGAACAGTGCTGATGTAGGGACATACCTACTGACCGAACTGGCCAAGCTCCGGGACAAGTACAATATTATCGGCGATGTGAGGGGAAAAGGTCTTCAAATCGGGGTGGAGATGGTCAAAGACAAGGTGAATGAATGAAAGTTACAGTCTTCTTCACAGACATCCAATAAAAAAATTATCTACAATAAATGTGTATGGATTAATAATTTGTAAGGATACGAACCATTTATTATTATCTTTATATGTTACTTTGTCTTAAAAAGATTGAATGAAGCGAGTCTACATTTATTTGTTATAGAAACTAGCCTGACTAACATTCTGCCAAATGTCAGCAAGTATCCGTAAGTACAAACTCCCCAGCTTACGAAAAAAGCATGGAGTACGTATTTGTCAGCTGAAGGATCTTTAGTAAAGACATTTCGTTCCACCTGAACTCATGCCTTGAATACACAAAGACATCTGGCGGTGCACATGTCCCACTGTGTACAGCTTTAATGATGGAAACTGCCTCTCATCTGAGTGCATTAAGCACAAACAATCGCAGCTTTTCTTCTAAAAGGAGCTCAGAATAAAATGAAGAGACAAATGCAGATGCAATAGTAAAAAAATGACACGATTCAGCTTTAAATGTCTTAAACCACCTTGTTTTGTGAATGTTAATCCCAATGACACCTCAGGCCTTTGCTCGCTTCAGAAATCAAAGTGAAAATCCTCAAGCTTTGTGATTGTGCATCCACTTCATTAAACTTTATTTGTAGAGCAATAATGGTGTCTTGACCTTGAGGTACAAGAATAGTCGAATGAACGAGTTACTTTAGCTCCAGATGGAATAGTTAATGATTCAGAGTGTTTGTTGTGAGTGTAAGTCATTTTCCTCACAGGCAATGAGCTACAAAACTTGTTAGTCATTAACTTGAGCAGATAGCAATGAGACAGCATGTTTGAACATTCTCAGAAATACACTCAGCTGTCTGCTGGAGTTAAAAACACCCAGTGAACCTCTCTTACCTATGGTTATTTACTGGAAACTGTGTGAGGATGTGTGTCTAGAAAGATATTACAAACACGCTAAGAACGCTTCAGTGACCTTTCAGCAGATTTATGTGCTATTAAAATGGAAATTCACAGTGGAAGAAGTTCTTAAAAAAGAATTTACTCACTTTCTTGTTTTTTTAAAACCTATTTGTCTTTCTTTCATCAAACATGAAAGGAGATATTGTGCTGAAAATCAAAGCTGCATAAGTTTGGAATGACATATTGGGTGATTAAATGACCGAAATTCCACTTTTGGGAAAACTATTCCATTACATTTTCTAACCAAAAACATGTTTAATCAAGCAGCATACCTGAAATCGCTCTCTTAAAACCCACTTTGACATTTCTCTCAAAACTATGTCTAGGTCACCAGAAACCCGCTTCCACGAGAGGCAATGGCTGAGATCTTCGAAGACATTAAAGACATGGGCGTGCTGATTGGAAAAGGAGGACTGTACGGACAGGTAGGCGAGGTGACAGGGTCTATCTGTAAAGTGATTCTTGCGGAGATAGACATGAATGCCTGAGGTGTATCACTGGGGATGTTGTGCAATGGAAAAGGTATGCAGGGATTCACTTCGGTCCTGTGGTCGCTGAAATACCTCAGGAATCCTGCTTGTCTGAACTTATAGAAATAGTCACAGCAAGCAATGAATGTACACTTAAAGGAACAGTTCACCCCAAAAGGACATTCTCTAAATATATATATATATATATATATATATATATATACACACACATTTGAATCAAATTATATCTATAAATAAATGTATATATATATACAGTATACTGTATATATATATATATATATACAAATTTGAATAAAATTATATCTATAAATAATGTAATTATAATAGATTTTTATTATACTTTTATTAACATTATATTCTAATGTAAAATACTACAGTATCAATTATCAATTATTAATATCAACACTGAAAACAAATGTGCTGCTTAATATGTTTGTGGAAACATTTATTTAAAATCTTTTGTAACATTATAAATGTCTTTACTGTCACTTTTAATTCATTAAATGCATTCTTGCTGAATAAAACTATTAATTATTATTATTATTATTTTTTTAAAATATTGACACCAAACTTTTGAATGGTTGTGTATATATAAAATTAGACATTTCAGAATTTCACTAGATGCTTGTTTAGGTCAATTTGGGAACATTATGCACCTTTGTGGCTAAATCTGACAACATTTGTGTAGCACGCTTTATTTTATATATTAGCTCACATTCAAATCCTTCAATCTTACGCATGCTACTTTTTCTCAAACCCGCCACCTCTCACCTGTTCTTTTCCAGACTTTCAGGATCAAGCCTCCTATGTGCATAACTAAAGACGACGCAGACTTCTTCCTCGCTGTATTCAACCAGGCAGTGCTCAACTACCTGGAGAGAAGATAAGACATGCAGAGCATGAAGAAGACACATAACATTGGCTCACATTTTATATGGAAAATTGCAACTAACACATTCTTCACACCTTCCTTAAAGTATGCATCAAGAACAATTGTTATCAGTAGCTGAATTGAGTACACTATACTTCAGAGATGTAGCACTTTCAATAAGTACTTATAAGCACTTGACTGACCACCTAAAACCAGATATGTTAAGAAGTTTCAAAAACTGGGACCAGTTCTACTCCCAGTTCTATCTTTTTGGAGACATGGAGAAAAACATGAATAATTCTAGTCATCTTACCTTCACGTAATACAGTATTTTAACAATTAATTGGTTCATTAAAATTTTTTAATTATATATTTGACACTATTGTCATCTTAACATTATTTTCTAACAATACACCATGATATACCCGGTATAACAGGATTGTATTATTTTACAGGTACAGATACATCTTACTAAGTGTCAAACAAACTCATAATCTGGTACAAACTACCTTTTCAATAAGGGAATTGTTTTCAGGGCTGAAAAAAAAAAGATGATTTCTTGCAATGCTAAATAACGACTATACACATTTGTAGACTTTTACATATACATCAACCGCAGGGTCTTGTCTAAAACCACACTGTTATAAATACATAAAACATGTTAGGAGCTTTTTGAGGGGATTAAATTCAAACCTGACCCAGTTCAAGTGACATTCATAGCTTATACCATTAAGGCACGCAAGGTCATAAATAAATCTGCTGCCTCTTAAAACGTTATATGAAGAGAAGGAGATTTCTGTCCTGCAAAGACAGCAACTGTTTATTAAATAAGCATCCGTTGTTTTGTTTTTTTCTAGTACTTTTTGAGATCCTTTCGTGGAAATCCACTGGTATTGTTTTGCATAACACCAAGCCTTTATATATTGCAGCTGACCTGTTACACACATAGTACATTAAACATATTTGAATGTTTAGCCTTTACCTCTTTATGATCTTAAACCCAATGGTCTTATTACCAATAATAACACTGTTGAGAGATTTTGCGGTTCATAGCTTATTTTTCCAAACAGAAACATTTCCAATAAAATGAAATCCATGTTCAAAACATCCAGTGGAGTTTTATTCCTCACGTTGCCTTTTACAGTTTACCTCTTTGGAATTGTCACTGTGAAAATGTGAAATTAAACGTGCCATCATAATTACTCTTAACTTCCTAAAAAAAACGACATATGCACAGTCTACTCAATAGAAGCCTCATTGTCCTACAGGACCGCTCTGACGCACCAGATTATGCATCAAATATGGTAGGAATAAATGGCAGTTCTAGGGAAATCTTTTGGCATATGGTGCATTACAAAAGAAATGTCAGCCCACAGGGCACAAATTCATTCTCAGAGGGACAAAGACACGCAGGCCCATAAACGCACTCCCTGATGGTTGCACAACTGCACACACTGACAAGTGGACAGTCAGAGGGGCTTAAGTCTTTGTCTGCCTTTCAGTTATCTGTTCTTCCTGATGTCCTTCTTTTTCTTGCACGTTTGTGCAGCGTTACTAGAGTAGAGGGCAGTGGCGTGGCCTGTGGTCTTCAGGTGATCGAAAAGTTTGTTCCTGGTGGCAAATTCATACTGACAGGTCACACAGCGCAAGATGGTTTCCTTCTATAAGAAGCAGAAAAGATACATTAAGCTTTATTGCCACTAATTGTTTTTTTTTTTTCATTTCTGAGAGCGATAAATAACTCCAAGCTAGGGCTGTAACATTTGGGATAAAATTACTGATAAAAATTGTGATTGGGATTAAAATGCAATTAAAACAAATATGCTGTTCTTGGTTATATTTTTATATATAAAATTATTAGTAGTAGTATTTTATAGCCATATTGATATATATTACTAAATAAAAATATTAAAATGACTAAAAAAAACTAAAGAAATAGTACTATAATCTTTCCCTGTAAAATAAAACAGTATTTCTCAAGTATTTAAGAAAAATTATTACACTATTATTTTACATTACAAATGTAAATCTATAATACAAATCATTTTTTTTATGGGTCTTAATTTCCTCATTAAACCATCAAATTTCATTTTGATGAAAAACTGCAGGGAGCATTTAAAGCTTTTCTTTTGATTGAAAAGCACTTCTCATTACAAGCATGGGAAGAATTATTTCATTTATACTCAACAGTGTGTAGAACTACTTCATGAATCATTTCACCAATCAGAATGAGAATAAACAAACTTGGCATCTATAATTTTATTCAATTATAGATGATTATAGAAAACCATGTTATAATAAGTCATATGAATTTGTATATAACAGCTGTAAGGCCACTGGAGTGGCTGCTTGCTCACATGTACACACACACACACAAACGTGACTGTAATGTACACACCTCTTGAGCAACTTCTACACCGCCATTTGGTTTACCATTCTTTTTAGAGTCTTTTCCACCTTTCTTCCCTTTTGACTTTTCAGAGCTGTATAAAGTGACATTCAGAGTTAATCTCAGTTCATATCAATATACAGAGAACCTTATAACAACTGAACTTTTTTAACCGGTGGATTGTTAAACAGGCATATGAGAGGCACCTTTTTTGATCTCTTGGTTCACATCCCTCTGGTTTTAGAATCTCATCTGGGTCCTCAGAGGGGACAGGGGCTTCCTCGCTGTTGCCCGAATCAGGTGCAGGTGGGGGACGCTCTTCTGTGGGCCGCTGGACTGGACTGTCCATCTCAGGCTCTTCTGGGAGATTCTACAGAACAACCGTATTAGAAAAATGACATTTTACTAAATCAAATCTAGCCAATTCAAATACTTCTGAGGTTAGATTTCAGTGACTTACATTTACAGTTTTCTGCTGCCGTTTCTTTTTCTTCTGCCTTTTAGATAATCTGTAATCAAATGAACCAATCAGTCGACAAGAACAGCCAACAATGCCACCAGATGCCTCGTTTAAGTACACAAACTTATAGATATTCTACAAACTCCTTTATTTATAACAATTTCAGACAATATGAAAAAGAATATTAAATAACTAATAAATAAAATGTTTGAATTTTTGATTCAGGATTGACATTTTTATGTCAGTAGTGCATGATCAATCCTATTGATTTTAACATTAATATAATTAATCACCTTTTTACATTAACATTTGACTAATGCTCACAGTAGACGCTTATAAAACAGGCATATATTGTCAAATACTATCATAGAGAAACAAATAAATTATATTCGGAGAGCACATCTCTAGTGCTATGGTTTACTTTTGTCTCTGTGTGCCACCAAGTTCATCACTGTCATCGTCATCGTCCTCTTCCTCCTCTCTCTCCACAGAGTTCTGACTCAGCGACTTGTCTTCCTTCTCCAGCTGTTGCCGTAGCAATGCCACCATCTCTCTGTGTTTTTTGGACTTCTCATGGTTTTTCATGCTGATGTGAGAAAAGCAGATTATACTGCTAAATTAAATGCATGTAATGCAAATTAGTTCAAAACATGCTATTTGTTTGTGTTTATTAAATTAATTAATAAAACATGTAGGCTAAAGTAGACAAACAACACCTAAGGAAAAAAAATTCTAAATAAATAAATATCTACACTAATGTTAGTGTTGTGTCCATTTACAATACCATTCAAACGTTTGGATTTAAAAAAGAAAAAAAAAATGTTTTTATTAAATTGATCACAGGTTACAGTATGAATGCTATGAAAGATTTATTTTTAAAGCATTTCTATTGAAATGCTGTTCAGTTGAACTTTCTATTTATCAAAGAAAACTGAAAAAATGTATCATGGTTTTCAAAAATGTATATTAAACAGCACAACTGTTTTCAACATTGGTAATAATAATAAGAAGAAATATTACCTGAGCACCAAATCAGCATATTAGAATGATATGTGAAGGATCATGTGACACTAAAAACTGGAGTAATGATACTGAAAATTCAGCTTTGAGTCACAGGAATAAATTACACTTCCAAATACATAACAGGTTTTTAAATTTTAAATTCTATTAATATTTCACAATATTGCTGTTTCTACTGCAGTTGTGATCTAATAAATGCAGCCTTGGTCAGCAGAAGAGATTAAAATTAACCATCTGTAAAATGGTAGTGTCAATTTTTATACTTTATAAATGTAAACCAACTAGAGAACTGAACTAAAAAATTACATAATGTTTATTAATTTGTGAAGTCGACGAAACTCTAAAAACTGAAATCCACATTTGTGATCAGTGAGGTGATGAGGGGTGTGCGACAGCAGTGCGCGTGTTCTCTCTGCTCCGTTCACTCACGCTTTATCGGATTTGAAAGATTTGTCACAGGCAGGGCAATACAGGTCATCATAATAGTCGTCCATTTCCACGGCACCATCTGCCTGCACCGCATCTGACAAAGGTCAAGCAGCTGTTAGATACGTTCCATCCATTACTCACCAATGTTTTACAGTATGATTAAGGTATTTTTCATGACTTGGTGATGCTCTGTGTATCATTGCATTTTATATGAATCACAGATGACTGTTCTTGTCCTGTCTATTTATATAGTGACATCTACACTTATTTGGACACTGATGTCACACTTAAAAGTCACTAAATAGATGTAAAATACCAAAACAACTTGTCATGACGTGACGTGGTTGAGAGGGTGTGCTTACAACAGTTTTTTTTTTTTTTTTTGCAGGTGTTGCAGGACTGTTTGTGATCCTTCAAAACTTTGTTCAGTCTCAAAATCATAATGTGTCCCTGAACCTGTGACCTCCTGTACTCAGAATCCACTCAAGTATACATGTACGTCATCAGAACTCACCTCCCCTGTCTATGTTTGCCCTCTCCTGCCCGTTTTCCACCTCCTCGTCCTCTTCACTCTCCGATACGTCACCAAACTCTAGACCGTACTCGGCTTCCATCTGCTGCAGTTCTTTCTCCAGCTCTGACATGGCAGCCCAACTCTGTTCCTTATAGTCTTCCGCCAGCCTAATGGCACATATATCGGCATATTAGAATGATTCTGAAAGATCTTGTGACACTGAAGACTGGAGTAATGATGTTGAAAATTCAGCTTTGCCATTTCAGGAATAATTACTGTTCATTTATTCTTATTAATATAGAAACAACTTTCACACACATCTGATTGATAGATAAACCACACATTCTTAACAGGTAAATGTACAGAAACTGAATAAACAAACACTTCACAATCTTCGCTACATAAATGATTTATAGATTAATCCTTATTAAAGCTATAAAAGTGTCAAGAGCAGTGAGTCATTCTCTTTTTGTCTTTTGTTCTTTGGTTAACATTAATGACACAGACACCAGCAGGGTTATTAGTCACTTTAAAGGAGTAGTTCACTTAAAAAAAAAAAAAACTTTTGCTGATAATTTACTCACCCCCATGTTATCGAAGATATCCATGTCATTCATTCTTAAGTCGATAAGAAATTAAGGTTTTTGATGAAAACATTCCACGATTTTTCTCCATATAATTGACTTCAATGGGAACCAAACGGTTCAAGGTCCAAAAGACAGTTTCAGTACAAACTGTTTAAAGGGCTTTAAACGATTCCAGACGATGAATAAGGGTCTTATCAAACGAAACGATCGCTCATTTAAAAAAAAATAGAGTTTACGTTTGATAAGCTCAAAAGGTCGCCTTGCTCTGTTCTGTGATGTGCGTTCGTGACTCTCCTATTCGAACTCGTTTATCAAAATGAACGAATCTTTTCCTGAGTCAACTCGTTCATTTAGTTCGTTGAATGAACCAAATGACATGAAAAAGATTTGTTCATTTTGATAAACGAGTTCGAACAGGAGAGTCACGAAAGCACATCACAGAACAGAGCAAGGCGACCATTTGAGCTTATAAAACCTAAACTTTATTCTTTTTTTAAATGAGCGATCGTTTCGCTTGATAAGACCCTTATTCATCGTCTGGAATCGTTTAAAGCCCTTTGAACAGTTTGCACTGAAACTGTCTTTTGGACCTTGAACCGTTTGGTTCCCATTGAAGTCCATTATATGGAGGAAAATCCTGGAATGTTTTCATCAAAAACCTTAATTTCTTTACTAGTTCTTTACTAAAATACTAGTGTGCCTTAGACTTCTGCACAGTACTGTATATATACAGCATATATATATATATATATATGTATATCTGAAAGGTCGCATGAAACTGAAGACTGGAGTAATGGCTGATCAAATAAATGCTTTGGTGAACTAAGATTTTTATTTTATTTGTTTAACTCAAAAGCTCTGATATTTCAATATATCTATATAGCTATTTATATAAAGCTAAATATCTCTCCTAGTTGACACATTTTTACCACTGTATGGTCAAAACATGCCGCCATATCACCCAGTCCATGGGCTAATCTCACTCACTTGGCCTGGTCGAGCTTCTGTTTTCTCCTCAGTTCTTCAGCTTTCTTGGCCTTCTCCGCATTCTGCTCTTCCACTAGTTTCTTATGGGCCTGAACACGCTTGTCACGTTTTCGGACAAAGGCCACCAGTGACCGCACCAGCTCGCTGTGCTCTTTCCTGGCCTTGTCCCTGGTTTTCTTGTTCTCTTTCTCCATGGCTCTCTTCTCCCAGCGGTTGGAGGCCTGTCGTGTGTCGTATTCCTCCTTCCACGCAAAGTTTTTGCGCGTACAGAAGCTCTGCCAGTAGCCGTAGAATAAATGCACCACCTGAGAGGAAAACCAGGAAAACAAAATTGAGAGAAAACCAGAGCTAAATGTGAAGAGAACCTATAATACTATATAACTAGATTTTATTGATAAACGTCCTGGATGCTTTATCCTTTTAACAAAAATATGAAGAGGCCTGTACAGTCATCCTCATTTCATCTGCTTCTCGAAGGCCTCCACTAATGGCAAATGACTACAAAACCTCCATTAGGTAAAGTGCAGGAATGGGCCACACCGGAAAGGGAAATGGTTTAGATCACTTAAGAGCCTTCAGGTCTAACTGGAGTGGGTGAACTTCATTGTTCAGACCCTGGAGAAAATATTCTCGACGGCTAAAAGAGATGCTGGATAGCTTGAACCAAATGTGAAGTCTTCAGTCAAGATTTTCCCCCTCTTTTGTCGAACAATCTGAAATGTATTTTCAGATACGAAATACTGACGTCCTACTGTTACCTGTACTAGCTTATTTGGACAAGTATTTAGATGGGAATGCTTTCGTGTTCCATTTATCTAAATTAATAATCCACAGTCTCATTTGGCTGAAAGGTCTAAAATGCACTAGACCCCCCGAAGAACTCTCTCTGATGCCATGTTTTGCCAATCCAGTGTTTTCTTGGTACAATCTATACATATCTCTCGAACAAACCATCTCAAATCATCTTTTTTAAACAATTAATCAAAAAAAAAAAGTCTCTCAATTCTGTCTCAAGATTTGTTCCGTTTTCTAACGATTCTGGTTCCGATTCAAATTCTTTAAAGATCCCATTAACAATTGAAGTGTTCGGATGCAAAAGCCTCTAAATGCCATTTAAAATTTTCTTCTTTAATGATGATTTTTATCATTAAGTTCAGTAATTTCACTTAAATAACAATTAATAGGTAATTATCATTGCCATTTAAGTGAAATTACTGAACTTAAATATACATTCTTGATAAAAATGATCATTCTAGAAGAAAATTTCAAATGGCACTTAGAGGCTTTTGCATCTGAACTCTTCAATTGTACAAGTACTTGAAAAAGTTTGTGTCTTTAGACTGATTCAAACTGATAACAGAATTATTTTTGACTGATTCACTAAAAATAGCCAGCTCAAAAGAGTCAGAATCATGTACAGCACCATTTAAAAGTTTGGGGTTGGTCATATTTTTTTTTAAAAGATGTCTCTTATGTTCACCAAGGTTGTATTTTTTAGATCAAAAATACAGTAAAAACAGCAACATAGTGAAATATTATTTCAATACAAAATAAATGTTTTCAATTTTAATATATTTCAAAGTTTAATCTATTTCTGTGATGCAAAGCTGAATTTTTAGCATCATTACGCAGTCTTCAGTGTCACATGATCCTGCAAAAATTATTCTGATATGCCGATTTGCTGCTCAAGAAACATTTTTTTTGTAATACTATAAATGTTGAAATAGTTTTTTTTTTGCATAATATTTTTGTGAAAACCATTATAGTTTTTTTTCAGGATTCTTTGATGAACAGAAAGTTAAAAATCCAATAGAAATCTTTTTGTAACTTTATAAATGTCTTCACTGTCTTTTGACCCCAAACTTTTCAACAGTAGTATAAGTCACACTGGTGGTGACACTGCGTTTTTGATGCGTGTGTAACCGGCAAGTTCATCGCAATAGATGGTTATATTTTCTATATATTTATTATATTTTATATAATATATATTTTTATAAAATATATATTTTATATTTATATATGTATATATTTTATTATTTTTGCATTATTTTGCAACATCCAATCATCAAATTTAATTCAAATTCAGAATGCAAGATCCAAACTCCAAACTTCTGCTTTGTACCTGTAGATTATTAAAATGCATGAAACACTAAGTACAGTATGTGAGTGTGCTGTTCCACCTGCACTGCTGATGCCAAGAACCTAATGGAAACTAGTAGTTTCAAGTATATTCATTTTTTTAAAGGCACTAAGGAACACCCATCTGAAACAATGAACAACTAATTGCTGGAAGGACATTTTGATAAAAGCAAACCCTCTGTTAAAGGTCTGCAGAAGTGTCTACCCATTCTGTAATGAATCATAGGGTGGATAAACATGTCCTTTTTACCATATCTCTCTCCTGCTCAAACCATAATTATCTCATGCCTCTCACCCAAACTTTGTCAAGACCTAACAGTAAAAGCTGTAATAATGTGTGCTAGTGTCAACATACAGTGTCATAGTCACTTTGAGAGTCTCCAAATGAGGGAAACTCATCCTCCTCGTCTTCCTCATCTTTGCTGTGCTCCATCTCCTCCTTTACAATAGACTCAAACAGGTTCCTGTATACAGTGTAAAAGCCCTACAGAGACACAATTAAAAACACATAACACATAAATTTCTACAATTAATAATCTCAATCACTCCAAACAGAAAGCAAGACTTGGATTGCAGTGCATTTTCAACATGAATTTCTACTGCCCTCCAGTGGTAGATGATGGTGTCCACTTTACAAATTGCAAATGTTAAAGTCCCCGTGAACCGGAAGTTGCAAACGATTTTTCTCCAGTGCTGTGACGTATTTCCAAGTGAAACGGAATATTGAACAGAGGGCAGGGTTTTACTCTAGCGCTCCTCCTCTCCATCTCTCGTTTGAGGGGAGTGGTTAAGCGTTTCCCCACCCAAACTGTGAAACCTACGTCATCAGAAAAATAAACCGTTCCAGACCGGAAGTAACTTTTCAGATTTTGATTAAAGATTACTAAGGTAAAACATTTTTTTTAATATATATTCACTTGCACGGATTAATTGTTCACCACAAGACTAGTAATATGCGCTAACAAAGTACCTGTAAATAGTTCAACTTTGATTTCACGGGGACTTTAAAGGGGTGATGAACCGAGAAAGCAATTTTTCCTTGAGCTTTTGACATCTAAGAGGTTATCATATTTATAAGAATATCCTGTAAGTTTCAGAACTGAAAACAGCCTATACTTATTAATTTTGATGTTTTTTTTTTTTAAATGTAAAAACCAAGCAAACGCCATAAGTTGACCTCAGACAACAATATCATTTTTTTTTAAAAAGCCAGTTCATGACCCCTTTAAGAAGTAAATTAACTAGTTTAGTTTTTTTTTCTTTAATATCAGTGGCAGGCAGGCATATGTATGGATGGATGCTTGTTTCCCCCACAGAATAAAAAAATAAATAAAAATATAGCTGCGAGCAGCGATGGCGGGCCCAAGCCGGAGGCACCGCAACCCCGGTTCCTTTAGTTACCTAAAGGCACCCGGGTGGCGGTGCCGAAGGCTTTGGCCCTTTCATGATTAAATGTTAAAACGGCTTGCCATACTCTGTCACACTAGTCACAATTATGTTACAGATATCTTAAATGATAATACAAACTATCCAAAGTGTAACGACTAGACAGAAAGACGTTGTTGATATCTACAATGTTAATTCCGGATAGGCAAACTTAGCTTTTAAATGTTAAAAGGGCTTGCCATACACGGACGTAGGCTCAGAGAGAGGCTCACCATATTCAGACCAAAATATCTGACTTCCTCTTGGTCCGAGCTAATGACTATGTATTAGAAAGTTGTACGGCTTGAGGAGTACAATGGATATACCGATTTGTGTAACTGTAGATAAAACTAACAACCCCACTTTTAAGTATATATATGGTGCCTTTAGTGTTATTCTGCACGACGTGCAAAAACTTAACCCCCGCTTTTTTAAGTATATATATATATATATATATATATATATATAAAGAGGGTTATTCTGCACGACGTGCAAAAACTTAACCTCCGCATTGACTGTCGAAGAGAAGTGTGCTGAAGAGCTTGCATCAGTGAGGGCTTTGCAAAATATATATACATACAAACACACACACACATATAAATGAGGTTAGTGTTTTACAATATTAAGGAAAGCAAATGTATTGAAATATAGCACATTAATTTTAAATTCATTCAGCTTCAATTACCAATTTGTAGTTTACCAATTTATCTTACTTTTATTTAAAGCAAACTATACATTTAAAAGATTAGGGTTATATGCATATTTTGTCATTTAAAAAAATACAAAATTGTTATGCAAAAAGATAAGGACTTGCAGAAAAAATCTACAGTCAGCCACACACACACACACACACACACACATAAACGCAGACACCAGCAACCCCCCCCTCCCTCCCTCTTCCCCACACAGACACTGATAGAGACAAGATACACATCCAAACTGCAATATCTGACTTTCTTTTGGTCTGAGCTTCTTACTGTTAATTAGAAAGTTGATCGGCTTGACAAGAACAATATACGTGGCATGTTTTGTAACTGTAGGTAAAACGAGCAAAGTTAACACATTTTATGTGTCCTTTTTTAGTCATAAAATTATTTTCCTCGCCACGGCCAAACCGTTCGAGATATCAAAAATCCGTCCGGAATTGAGCATCCTCAATGTCTTGACTTCATGCACACCGAGTATGGTGGTGATTGGTAAACACATGCGTTGTAATTTGATGTATTTCTCCTAGGAGATTTATTCAAACAACACATAATTCCCAACTTCCATTTGAACTGTCTTAAAACTTAGAGCAGAGATGGGCGCAGGTCACGCAAGTCTCAAGTAAGTCTCAAGTCTTAACCGTCAAGTCTCAAGTAAGTCCCAAGTATTTTTTTTGGGGGGGGGGGGGGGGGGGGGGGGCAAGTCAAGTCAAGTCAAGTCACAGGCTATGTCAAGTCAAGTCAAGTCTTGTAGTAGGTTAAGTCAAGTGCAAGTCAAGTCACCTTATTATTTTAATTTTACATGCAGAATCTGATCTTAATAAAATGAAAAGACAAGATAAGTATTTGCCAGTAAATTACAATAATTTGCATTGTAAATACTCATGTTCAGTAAATACACCATGGAATCAAACAAAATTGTAACTTCATAAAATTATTTATTTTTCACTTCTGCCAACAGTGTGTTTGAAATGTTTTAAATTTTCAACATTGAGTCCATAAAACAAATAACAGCTTAACATCCTACAGACTCTCTGAACACCTTCCTCTCTCTCAAACACAGTTTACAAACAATATTAAACTTTGTTACATTTCTCCTCTCTCTCTCTCTCTCTCTCTCTCTCTCTCTACACACACCACACAGTGGCGGTTCTAGACCATTTCAACTGGGGGGCCAAGCTGGGGCCAGTTGTACTGTTAGAGGGGCCAGTTACATTTAGACCTTATCATTTTCTGCACTGCACTGAAGGCATAAATAAGCAAAATACCATGTTTATAATTATCCAACAATTTGCATTTCCATTATATTTTTACATTTGCATTACATATATCAGTCTGTATTTGAATTTCCATTTTATTTTTTTACATTGAATATACAGTATGTATGTATATATATATATATATATATATATATATATATATAATTTTTACAAATTAATCTACGATTTTTGTGGGGTTTTTTTTTTTTTTTTTTTTTGCAAAAAGATCAGCAAATTATCCTCTAAACTGGCCTTTTTAGGGGGCTTTCCTCTCAGGGTGAATGAGCTTTTTTATAATTGTTTTTTTCCTGACATCTTTGAAAGACAGAAGCAATAATTAATGCATCCTTGGCCAGGATATAATTATAAAATATGACATGATTTTAAAAGTGACCTATAAATCGACTATGCAATACACTTTAATTTATCTAGTGCTAATAAAATTATTAAGCCTATTTGGAGAGAGAGATGTTTATAATGTGACAATATGTCAGTCATCGTGATTCGTGTAATAAGATGACTAGGCCTAGACTACTTGTTCTGAGCAGGTGTTGTCAGTGAACAGGCTGTAAAACTGTTGTCTAAGTTACAGACTGATACTAATTAAATGGGAAACGAATCGATTACCTAACGTAACCTCGGTTCTCTCTAGATGAGGGAACGAGCATTGCGTAAGCTAGCTTACGCTACGGGAAAGATTCATCTTACATCAGTCAAGTTGTCATAGTTTTTTGTCAAACAAGTTGTGAATTTGTTGTAACATTAAAACAGGAGATCATGACTTACTCCGTGCTCCAAGTGATGTTCGGAGCTCCAGTGATTAGTTTCATCTGTGGGACGGGTGAAGAAACTTTCGGAAGATGTTGTAACAGAATCATATGAACAATTCCAGGATATGCTTTTTTTCATTGGTTGTTGCGTTAAATTTTACCCAGATACAATAGTGCCCTTTTCTGATTGGCTATTAAGTAGCACTTCTCTTTTTTTGATTGGCTGATGCGTAGCAGGGTCGACTGCTGAACTCCAGGCGAGACGCGCTTGATTCTCACGTGAGAGCGGCGCGGCCAGAGAAATTGCGTATATTAAATATATTATTAATAGTTTTTCCGCATGAGAAATACAATGTGTGACGGGAGTGTGAGACAAAAGACTGAAACGAGTGACTGTCATGCTCAATGCGTGACACACTATAAAAAAAATATTTCACACTGACTCCACATTTAGGGGGGCCACAAGGGGGTCCAAGCTTGTTGTCGCAGGGGCACTGGCCCCCCCAGGCCCCCGCCTAGAACCGCCACTGCTCACACACACACACACACACACTTTCTCTCTCTCTCAAGAAGCAAAAACATGACTGCTAAAGGTTGTATCAGCGATGGCGGGGTAACATCACTTAACATCACGAGTGATATTCCCTTAGGCCACGCCCCCTTGTCTCCCCAAAGTATTATAAGCAATCATGCGCATCCCGTGTGCAGAATGATGCACTTGAAGCAACACCAAGTCACAGCACGCAACGCTTCACATTGAAAAGAACATAGCGAAGGGATGGTATCTATAATCTATGCTTAGTAGGGCTGCACGATTTGGGAAAATGTCATATTGCCATTATTGAGCCAATATTGCAATTGCGATTTGCGACTCCGATATAATAAAATGGTTTCATGAGTCCAACTTGCTTGGTTCTAAAGTAAAATGCACACACAGATTAATGTTTATTTCTCAACTCAAACTAAAAAACAACAACAACAATAAATGATTGATAACACCTATAATGATCAATAAACCATCAACCAAACCAACATTACAGTGATTCCATCAATTGAAAGCCATCAACTTTTAAAAAAATTATTAGGCTTAAAAAAATATATAACAGCTTTTAAATTAAGTGAACTTCAAACAATCCCCACATAAACCCATAATAAAAAACATATTTACCTGTGCCCTTCCTGTCTTAACAGGTACAGAAATTGAATAAAGTTATCAAACAGTCTGCGCTGCCTGAATCATAAATTATATATATAATAATCCTTATTAAAGCTACAAAAGTTCTTTACTCAAGATCAGTGAGTAATTTTCTAATTTCCCTTTGTTCTTTTAACTTTACTGAAAGAACGCTTTATTCGCTGCTGGCCCTTTAAGAGCACCCGTTGCCGAGACGCGGATCTCACACGCGCCTCATAACTCTTTTCATCCATAGACTTTTCTTATGTTATGAAGATACTAGACAAAACCACATTTTGGCATAATTGTGTGTGCTATTGTTCGTTCAAGCTCGAAAGAGAACTGTTTATTCTGGGCTGGCACACGGTCAGTGCATGCGCATTATGCGAGTCTCATCTATTCTAATCTAGGGCACTCACAGGCAGCTTTTCACTTCTTGTCGTGCAAAATGCGAAAAGGCATTTGAACCAATAAGAGGGGGATCTTGTAACACTAGTCAAAGGATGACAAAAGCTGCGCTAATAGCCCTACTTTGTTTATTTCATATAAAATCGCGGCATTTTGCGTTATATAATTGCATAGGTTTGAGATCGCTATTACGACTGCGATATAATTAATCGTGCAGCACTAATGCTTAGTGTATTCTAAAGGGCAATAAACTCCACTCCAGCAAGATAGTCATTTTATGCAAATCATAGACCTTTATGCCTTATCTACAAATA